ATCGAATTCGCTGGGTCTCGATACCCCTCTCCGACATTCAGATCTTAGAACAGCAGAGAACCTCTTCGCAGAAAGCGCGACGCGAGCCGCTCTGACGCTCGGCGATTCCCCCGCTATCGCGAGTCGCGACGAGGTGACAACGCGACTGCAATTCACCCTTTGATACATCTGCGAGCGCATACTGCACGGATCCTTGAGAAATAAATCCCGATCCGGCTAGATAGAAAGCAATATATCTCATAACGTGACGAAACCGGGAGTTGCGACCTAGCGGAGCAGGCTGAGAACTCATGAATATCGACGGAAAAATGACGAATCATAGTACAACTTTAAATAGAACCGGTACGTTTCCTGCGGGGAAAACGGTCCTAGTGATTTTTGGCGCAAGCTTATGCGAACATTACGATCGTTGAATGCGCTATATTAGGCGAATGTTCATTGAAACCAATGGCTCAATTCTTTACCACTTATCCAAGGAGCGTTAACGGAATAGTGGAGAGGCTCTGAAACAGAGTCGGGAATCTGAATACTTCTGAATCATCGGCGCGATTGTCATCTAAAGCACAAACGAAATAATCGCGATGCGATTTGATAAAATGTCGCTATTCTCTCAGATTTTCTGAAGCGTGACTCATATTAATGGGAGCCTGCCGAAGCTCGCGGGGGTTTCCCGGTCGTTTCGTGTGACAAAGGTTAATGATGTGCTTTCCTCGTGAAGCTCGATTCAGGAAAACGAGACGAGAGGCTCCGCTGACGGAATGATTCTCCCAAATAGGACAATTCTCCGAGCTTCCCCCTCTTTGCGCTTCCCTGTTCATGGATCGATCGTTTTCGCCGACCTTACTACGGCCATGGCGGTCATCACAAGAACTCTGGGAATGCAAACCAGGAAAGGAATTTCCAGCCCAATCGGCGATGGAGTGCGCGGTGTGATTGAGTCACTGACTGAATTTATGCGGGAAAGAGAGAAGGAATGACCAGAGAATCCTGACCCTCCGGCTCATTTCTCCGATCCTGCTCCGGGCTCACAGATCTTATTGTTTTGGGAACTCCGTGTTTTCTGATGATTATTTGGTTGGATCGGGAACCGCCGTTAGGTAACGAAAATTTCCTTTCTAGTTTTTTTTTCCACGAATTGAATTTGATTACGACGCAGATCACTTCCCGTTTCGTTCTCTCGAGGGGATATGTGCATTCAGTAACCTCGGCTAATCTCGGAAACCAAATGCGTAACCAAAAGTTCGCTCGAGGCTGCCGCTCTGAGATCGAAGAGGAAGACGAAAAAACTCGCAACTTGCTTGACCGACTGAACGACCCACCGGACGGACTTAGGCGAATTGGCGAAACCGGAATCACCAAGCCCGCTCGTTCACTTCGATTATTCGGCTTAAGTAATCGTCGGTAGCGGCAGCGCGGCGCCGGCGTCGGCAGCGTATTCCAGCCGAGCCCATTCAGTTTCTACAATGAACGACGAACCATCAACTGTGCCTTACGGCCGAAGCCTGGCGAAACGAATCAGGCTTCGATTCTGTATACATACCGGCAGGCGAACCGGTACTGGTTCGTATTAGGGATCATAAAGTTTCCACACAGTGAAGATGACGAAAGAAAATTACCGATATTTCCATGGATTGGAATTAGAAGCAACTCACGGCCAAGTTGACATCTTTGATTAATGCTCTCGACGACTTCAGCGTCTCGATCGTTCCTCCAGTGTTTCGCGGCGGTCGAAAGACGAAATTCATCGGAAACGAGAAAAGTCCGAGAAATCGATTGTGTTTATCGGGTTCTCTCGACAAGAGCGCGAGAAGCTCTCTTGTTGAATGAGGTCATCAATCACTCCAATCGAAGATTCAAAGATTAAGGAATGCAGACAGCGTGGAAGACCTTGGTCTCCCAAGCAAAAACTTCGCCATTGACCTTGCACTGGTCACTGATGGGAACGTTCCCCTCGTGATAAACTCTGAGTAAATCGACTGATTCTTCATCGGGCGACGGACGGAGCGAGATCCCTACGCGCTCGCACCAACTTGCGAAAACAAACAATCGATCAATCAATTGAGAGCTTCGTACGGAGGAGAAATTCCTATTTTGCATTCAAGTCTGACTTCCTCTAACACAAACACAAGGCGAGAGACCATGTGGGCAGACACGGAATTATAAATGCACTTGTGGATTGATAGGTACAGAAGGGGAAGCTGGACAGCAGGCTCGAGAATTGTTTGGAGATGGCGGGATTATAAATAGAAGTCGTTCCTGTACCGCTCTGGCAAGTCGAATTCCAATGTTTCGATTTCCACAGTTTTATCTCCCCGGACAAAGGTCAAAGTTTTTCTATGCGCAACAAGCAGATACATGGCGGTGTAAGGAGCGAATTGCCTCCGTCAGATGTTCACGCAGTGGTCGAGCGAGAGTCATTGGTTCGCTTGAATGGGGCTTGCATTCTCTTCATTTCTTTATCGAAAGACACGGACAAATCGAATTCTGAGGCGCAGGCGATCCGATCGGTACGCCCTCGCATGTCTGAAGCGATCGCTCTTGCTCGGCATCACTTGCCGGAAGGTGGGCAGGAGACTCCCTCACGCAAGACCAATGGAGTCGTCCTCGACGCCGAGTCCGCGTGAACACCGGCCAGAGAAGACTTCGACAAGGAGGTGCACAGACGTTGTAGCTCCGGCTGCAGTACACCATGCATTCAAGTCCGCCAACGGGGATATCTTCCTTCTCAGAAGTTCTTGTTCCCGACAGTCTCACTGACGAATCCCTGCTCGACATTGTGGTCCATTTGTGAGTGATCAGCTCGGAGCTCTCCCTTCACCGCCTTCTCTCCGGAGAGAAGATCGATTTGTGGAAAGAAGTGGGTATTCGATACTCAGCCTCTCTCCCAGAGCTGCAAGTTCCCATACGATGATGCTCTGATACAATCTCACAAACCTGTTCCGGCAGCCTGCTGGCCTGTCACCGATGAGCTGGGTAGACTGTCTGTTAGAATCGTCTGCGCGAGATCTCAAAATTTATTTGCATCATCACAAACGTTTCCCAGATGGAACCCGATACTATTCTGTTAAGTTCCTGTTTCTGAGACGAGCATTAAAACAGACGATCGCTTTGAGGGCCATCGATTGCGACACCGACGACACGACGGGCGAACAGATGTCTGACGTCAACTTGCGTTTTTCCCCAAAGTTCAGAACCTCTCCCGTCTCCCTGACTCATAGCATCACTTGGAGCCGACATAGCGGATACGAGAAGTTGTTGTTAACAGCCGCAGCTCTTGCGTGCTCTTGGCAAAAGCTCGACGATAACGATCACGTGACGTCACAAAGGCTTGAAAAAAATGGCTCTTCTGACTTATCACACACTGAGAACAGAAAACGCGAAAAAGGGGCCGCAGAAGAAATCACATGGAAAAAACGCAAGAAAATTTCAGCCGTTCTTTACAATGCTCGGGTCGCTGCGCATTATACTGCGGCTTGATGAGAGGGCAGGAACAAATCGGAACGGAAAAGGCTGAAGTGAATGAAAACACATACAATCCGAATCCAATGCGAAACGGTTCCGAGACCAGCGAGAGCGACACACAACACAGTGACCAATCGATGCAGGAGGAGCTTTCAGAACATCAGAAGACTCCAGTACTTCTCTTTCAGCTCCAATATTTCGATTTCCGTACGAAATCGACGGTTCGCCGATGGCATCTATCAAGCCGCCGAGAGTCTCCTGGATACGCTCTCTATTCGAATCGTCGCTGACAACGACTCTGGAGTACAGACGTTGATGAAAGCGGCATTCTACCGGAGAGACGTTCTCCCGAACAATACTTCTCAGCTCTGGATTCATGCAGCGAGGCGGATGATTTCATAGTTGCTCTATGAAATCTCGTTTTTACTCCATACTTCGTCTTAATGTCACTCGATTGAGGCGCTCGCAGATGTCCGCTTCTCGTTGAAACCCTTTGAAGTGCGCAGGAAGAATCCGTCAAAAGAGCGCATCCGTCGGTCCGTCGATCCCGCCGCCGTACTTTTACAGTCGTCGACCATCGACTGTCACTTGTATGAGCATAGCCGCATCGGAGTCGACGACAAACAAGAGACGGATGAAAAGAGAAGAAAAAACGAGCCGTCTGTCATTTTCTTCTCGCTCAATCCAATCAAAGTCCCTTCGGATATTCCATGATCCGTCGTTCGCCAACGAAAGGACGGCCATCTACGGCAGTGCAACACTGTCCGTAAGGAACAAACTCCGAGCCTGAATGTCGTTTCTCGCAATCGTCGTCTTCGACATCGCTGCGATCGAAGTTATTGTGGTGGAGAAGATTGCTCCAATATCTTAGATAGAAACGATCCATTTCATCAATCCGGTTGCAGACGAAAGCCACGCTCACCGTGGCCGCCTAAGTTGGCTCCTTTATTGTGCTTATCAAGTCTATATGTTCGGCGGTTTGTTTTCGACTTGCGTTCTGACCAATTACCATACCGAATCGTTTGGGGTCTATCTGCGAGCAAATCCCGTCGTAGCTGGCATTGCTAGACCGTGGCATTGACTATGGGTTAAGTGCAGCAACGATCGACCGACGTGATTAGATTCACTTCTTCCCTCAAGGGATAGCCGGGTCACGCTCTCGGGGAGGAGCCGGACTCGGAGGAGAACCACCGGACAAATTCGAGTTTCCCGCGCGACTTCGGCTGCATGAAAACTTCGGCATGCCTTCTTCGCGCAGGGAAATCACCGGTTTTCTACGTGCTGTTCTCTGCTCAGCTGCTTGGTTGGACTTCGATGGTTGAACATCCGTTTCTTCTGAAATTCTCTTCTGTACAATCGCATGGAGGGCTACAGTAAGACCGCTGTGTCACTTCCGGTGCGGCTCAATTATCGTCTCTTGAGATAAATTCCGTTCGAAGAGTTGGTATTTTGACGTAAACATGGAAAGAGTTCCAAGTCGGCGATCTCTCGCACATCGCCAGCCTGCTTACTTGCTCGCTGGCTCGCTCGATATCGATGCTGAAGAACATTTTCTGTCGTCCGCTTCGGTTGGTGCTGCGCTGGATATGAAGTGAAGATCGGTTTTGCTTGTGAGACATACCAGGAGAAACCCCACAAACGTCCCCAAAATGAGGAAGGTCTCGTTAAAAATGGTCCGTCAACTGAGCCACCGAGCTCAAGTTGAGGCCGAGCGAGCAAGCCGTGCCAAAAGTATGTATATTTATTCTCTTCGAGTTGTTTCGTTTTCGATTCTGCCTTCGGAGAACATCCCAGCTTCGCTCAGTAGGGACGGTCTCAACCGGAATTTTCTCGCTGATATTGCGCGTATTTCTCTCGCAGCCTCGCGTAAAAAGCGACGGCTCCGATAAGTGCGACTCAAGTCTCTTAAAACTGCGAAACGTCTCGAGTACAGTCGAAAGTTCCCCGACCCTTGTCCATTGCTTCTTTGACGGTGTCAACTGTCACTGGCAGCGAGGGGACTCTCCCAGATTCGGCGTTTCCCAGCGAAATTCCCCATTCGCTAGAAGGTTTTTCTTCGCCTAGAACATGATCGAGCGTCGCTCAAAGCATCCCTCAGCACCCAGCAGCATCCCCACTATTGCGGATGAGCGTTCTCGCTGCTGTGGAAGCGGCAAATATCGTTCTTATCACAGACATCGCAGCAGCAGAGACTTCTGATCACAGAATATCTTCCGCGACCTTGGATCCATCGGTGTTGAATGTTCATGTTGCAGACTGTGCTATCATCCTTCGATCAGTGATTGGATCGCAGTTCAAATAAAGTCCCCATTTCACTGAGACTTCCGATAGTTTCGAGGTAGTTGGGGCGATCATGATAGGGGAAGAGTCGAGGTTTGAAGTACGCGAGCGTATCTGCGGAACAACTAGTTCCGTATCAAGAAGAGGAGAGGGAGAAGACAATGGGGTCCTGCATGGGAGGACCATGGCTGTGTCTTCTCCAGTTCTATGTGGGAGGCGCGTCCAACAGGATTCTCACGATGAACGTGGTACAGAGAGTTGACGTCATTCCGTTGTGAGATTCGTGTCCACCGACTAAGAGGTCAGCGTCTTAGCGAGCGAAGTAAGTGGCGAGCGAACGAGGAAAACTTTGTCTTTGGGAGAGAGCCGGATTCTCTGATACGTTGAAGGTGGAGACTTCCAACGGGGCGACAATAGCTCATCTCAAAGTCGAGCTTGTCCGTCGAACGGAGTGAGTTTAAGCCTCACTCTAGGATTGAAACATGTAAGGGTCGCCAATCCCTGACTTTGATCTCTGACTCGACCACTGTGTAGATCTCTGCGCCTGAACGAGCATTCAACGGACTTCAACGAGCATTGGAACGTAGGCGTTCCGAGTCCCATCGGTGCCTGAAGAATGTGCTGATTCGGGAAGACTTCGTGTCTCACCCGTGCTGGATGCTCGACTTTCCGTTCTGTTCTCGCGTTGAGTTCCTGATTAGGTGTAGTTTGAAGTCTAAAGAGGTTCGTCGATGAAGAAATCCCTGAATTCAGGCTATGGAGACCGCCTCCGCCATGGCCCGAGTCTCGGCTCTTTGACAGTCGCGGAAATCTTTCCGCGGAACGGGATGTGATCCGAACCACCAATACGCGCACTCGACAGACTAGCTCATGCTTAAGTTGTAGAGCCACCAACTCAGAATTCTTTTTCCCTGATCTGACTCCGATCATTTTGTTTCTTTGCAGAGCGAGTGGATAAAATGAAGGCGGACTGCGTGGATAAATGGGTGTCCAAAGTGTTCAGAGCTCTGGGAGAGTCCATAGCCAGGACCCCAGGTTACTACATCGTGGTGCCGCTCATGATAGCCATCACGCTCTCTACGGGCATGCAGACGATCCGCTACCAGGACGACCCGGAGTATCTTTTCAGTCCAGTGAACGGCCAATCACACTTCGATCGTGAGCGACTTTTTCAACTGTTCCCACAAAACACCTCGGAAAGCTTCGATATCAGTCGTCTCGTGACCACCGAGAAGTTCGGTCGAGTGATCTTCCACACGAAGGTAGGCGAGAACCTGCTTCGGAAGGAGGTGTTCGAAGACATTCTCAAAGTGGACACGCTCATCAAGAACTTGAAGTCCATATGGGATGATGACGAGAAGGACTGGAACGAGATCTGCGCAAAGAGCGAGCCTGGCGTTTGCTTCAACAACGACATCTTCCACTACACGTTGGAGAAACTCAGAGAGCTGCCCGAAGATTATCAGACGGTCAATCAAACCGAAGGTCTTGGCATAAGATATCCGTTGCATTTCATCAATGCGACGCGGGAGTTGTATTTCCCCGGGGGACTTCTGGGCGCCATCAAGACAAACGATGACGATGAGGTCATCTATGCGGAGGCGATAAACATGTTCTACTATCTCGAAGCGAGCTCGCGTAAGAAGAAACTCCGAGCGGAGCAGTGGGAGAACGATTTCCTCCGAGCGATCCCGAAACTCTGTGAAGAATTGGAATTTACGAGTTGTGCGTACTTCACGTCGTTATCGTTGACGCAAGAGCTGGAACACAACACGACGAACGTAGTGCCATACTTCAGCATCACAGTTTTCATCATGCTCGCTTTCACCGTTTTCACGTGTCTGATGAGTGATAACGTGAGATCGAAGCCGTGGCTTGGCGTCTTGGGTTGTTTTTCGTCCGGAATCTCTGTGCTAGCTTCATTTGGATTTACAATGTACATGGGAGTCGAATTCATCGCAATCAACATGGCAGCTCCTTTCCTCATGCTCGGTGAGTAGATTGAGCAGTTTTTTCTCTCGTTTTTTTTTCTACCCCCTCTGAGAAGAGTCTCCCGATAAGTAATCATTGGCATTGTGTTCCATTATGACCACACGTAGGTGTCCGTATCCGGCATCGGAAGAGCTCCTCTCGGTTCCGGAGTCCGATTCGAGTTTCCGATCCCAAAAGCCACGATTTGATTCGCGGAGGAGCCGTTGGATCTTTTACGGAATTCCTGTTCCGAGGGAGTCGGAAACCTCACACGGTACCTCCGCTCTGATAGCCTGTAGCTTGCGGACGGTCGTAATTTTATACGGCGTAAATATTTGATCAACGAGGTCCTCTAGTAGAGCCCGAGAAGTAACATCCTGCTTCTGTTGAATCGACCGTTGCTATTAAGCCGCCTCGGCCACCGCATAGAGGCCGGATGCGGCGGACACCGAAGAGAGGAATTCTCTAGCATTGAAGAAATTCAGATTCCGGCAGAGACATTTCCCTACGGCTGAAGACAGAAGTACAGACAGAAACGACGTGCGAGACAATTTCGTTCTCTCAGCTTTCTCCTGTCTGCGTCTTTTCTGGCCGCTTGTTTTCTGGGCCGAAATCCTTCCTTTTTCTTGCATCCTGTTTCGCTGCAGTTTCCTTCCCTGATGTTTTGCATCTAGTGATAAAGACGCTTCGGATCCGTACTCGCGCGTTCGGGCCCTTTCGGTGGCTTCCGGCGATGAGTACCAGGATTCTGTCATGGCCCAGGGACGAGGCTTCCGTCGCCTTGCTCGCGCGCAGCAGTCCGTGTGAAACGGTACGCGTATCGAACTTACGTAACGTACATGCTAGGCGAGGTTCCGGCTGGGCCGAAAGTACGTTCGGCATCTTTATGTACATATCTGGGCTCTCCGATGGGATCTGTCGATTGTTCTGACGTTATCGGTCCAATTGAATCGTGGGTAGATCCGTATCCCCCGATAGTTGAGCGTCGAGCCTGATGAGAAACCCTCATGGTCCCTCATAGTCGTGTCTGAAATGTATTGTTCTCCTTCGCGTAACGACATGGAATACCTTCGTTCGACATCCTGGCACCATCCTCCTCAAAATTCGCTCATCGTGGGGAGCATGGAAGGATGGAAGATCGTTCTCTAGAAGGAGCCGACTTCGACGGTGACGGACTCTCGAACAGTCTCTCATGACGTCCTTCAGGGACTTACTCAGCGTGATGACCTGGTCTTCCCATAATGCTCTTGCAACCTGAGCGAATTTCCTCTCGGTCACTCAGCGTCTCAATCAACATTCGGAATTCCACACGCGAGGAAAAAATCTCGGGACGCATCAGACGTGTTCTAAAGATTGGAATTCATGCGACGCTCCGCGGACAATCTGTCGCTCGCGTTTGGTTCCTAAGAAAGTCTATTCTTGCTCCCACATCCCCGTTTATTTCCTCGCGATTCATCGTCCCCAACAATCGACCAAGTGCTCATCCACGCGAACGATCTAAGAGGTTTTGGACTCTTCTCGAGGAGAATGTGAATTCCATTGACAGAAACTTCCGGAATTCGAATTGCAAATTAGCTCGGTATAGTGAAGGTTCTTAGCTCCTTCCTCCATGCGAACGACTTTTTCATTCGTCCCTTGTCTCCAAGTCGCCGGTCGCTAAGCGCAAGCCCAGTCACGGAAATTGATTTTATGCCATTGTGCCAACTGAGTAGATGGGAGACGGTAGCTCGGAAGACTTGGAGAAAAGAATTTCCTCGCTGGATTCCATTCATCTATATGAATGAATGTTTCCTTATGTGCTGTCACCTTGAGTGCTCCGCAGTTTTCGCTGGAGGTCGATTGAATATGGATCTCGTACTTCTACCTTATGGAGAGTTTTCGCCCGACGTCAACGATCGATAACAGACGTTGTATCGATTGAGATGACGTAGCCCTGACGACTCGGATGGTCACTCGAATAGAAAGCCAGTCGTCCTCCCACCTCGGCTGCGGGCCGGGCCTCGCTACCCTATGAGACAAACGCCTGGGAGAGTCTCTTCACCTCATCTCCGTTCAAGCGCGAATCTCAATGTCGACAGGTGAATCTCCGGAGAAGAATCACAGAGAGAATATAGATATTAATTCTGGAATATTACGAGAAGCCATCTAGTGAATCTTGTTGTCTATCTCGCATTGTTCTTGAATTCTGGAGGTGCCATTCTTTGCACAATGTCACCGAGGTTCCGCTCCTATCGGCTCGGTAGTTCGCTTTACGTCTACGTTCGTAGGCCTCATGGAAAAGAGGTCCGGCGGTCTAGCGATCGACCATCCTCCGCATTGAGGTCTCTCGGACAATGATGAGCTCTCGCCCATGGGATCTGATCTGTGTGGGAGAAGGATACCGATTCATTTCCGAGGATGCATTTCCACAAAGTGGGCAGCTGTCCTGGAGTGGGTGGATTCGGATATGGCTCGTGGCGAGCGTTTAGCCGCCTCCAAAGTTTTACGCGCAGAGTCGTTTTCACATCGAATCCCCTTCATTGACTAGATCAGGGAGACGTTAAGCACGTCACGCTCTACATCCCTGCGGCGAATGACCGGTATTGAATGATTGAGTGATGCATTCCCATCACAGTACTTTCTGGTTGCTCGCCATTATATTCGCTTTTTGAAGCCTGCATCGACGCCGACGTTGGAGTCCGCTTCCCGCCAATGTGCCGTCTCTCAAGAAGCGGGGACCGAGTTTCTCCGCTTGGCACTCGTCTCCGCCGCGCCGCGAGACTCTGATTCCGCGCTGACGTCCAGGGATCGCATTGCGACAGCCTTCTGGCTGAGATATGATTCTTCCTCCGATCTTGAGGAGAGCTAAACCTGACCGTAGTATGTATACTACGGTCATGTATGGGAATGTCACCTTCTTCACGGAGCGTTGTTGTAATATTGAGAAAATCTCCTCGTTTTTGGCTGCGAGCGTCAGCGTCATCAGCGACTCCAGAACCGAGAGTTTTTCTGCAAGCGGGCGCGAAAATCTGGGGTTTTTATCCCTCGGTTCGATGTTACTCCGGAGGCAGTTCAGTGCCCTGCTTCCGATCGAGATGTGGTCTTTCCCTCTGAGCAGAGTTTACACACTTCAATTCGGAGCAGGCGACTCGTGTTGGCTCGTCTTATGGAAGAAAGACTGGCTTGTTGGTCCGGTGGCTGCTCGGCTGGGTGGCTTGTTGGCTCGCTTGCAGCGCTCGGAGCCAGCGAGGCGCTAGCCGACGCGGCGTCAAGGTCTTCCCGCCAAAGCGTGAGTCAAAACCGCCGAAAATCAAGAAGCCTTGGGGATGTTGTAGGGGCAGAAAAAAAGAAAGTATTCGACGAAGTCCATATGTTTTTACTGAGTGGAGCTGCCGACGTCGCCCGCGACCACACTTACCTTAACTTGAGTTTCGCGCTTTCTCTTCCCTCAAGCCATTACTGGGAGCGCTAGCGATTCTCGTAATTTCCCTTCAGGAGACTCGTTCCGAGTGCGAGGAGATTCCCGACTTGCCCACCGGGCTGGGAGCCGGGCTCGTGAAAAAAGAGACTCGTCTGTCGTAAGGAGCGATAGACGGCAATTTACGTAATCGGGGTCGCCTATCGGATGGCAGTGATCACTATCTCGATCTTTGCCGTACTATTTATCACGACGTCTGGTATCTTCGAATATCTCAGAGAAAAATCGATGCGCCGGGATGTAGTCACCTGAAAATGACCGCTTTCGCCTCTTTCTTTATCGGGTCGCGCGTAATATATGCCATAATTGTTCGTTTATTCCGGGCGGCTACTATTACGTAATCGACTCGACAGCTGTTCCATTCATTGATCGCTTGAGGTCGGGCTCATCGGTGTAACAGACAAGCTCTTATGACAGGTTCTTTACAATGTAAACTCAGAGGCGTTCAGTTCTGTGGCCGTTAGGCAAATCTAGCAGAACGGACATTCACGGGCTCCAAGCGATCACCGGGGCTCCAGATTCGTTTCCATGTACAATTCTCAGAAAGGGAGACATTCGATTGATCTATCACCAAATGGAACTTGTGTCCGGAGCGGAACGGTTCCTCTCGATATCCAAGAATGGAATACCACGAAGAAATTTGTTCAATGAACCTTTGACCCTGCGCGGAGAAAAACGGCCAGCATCCTGATCCACGCGTGTGGCCTCTCTTCTTCTTGTCTGCCCTCTCGTCTCTAGGTTGTCCGGCCAGCTCCGTGTGAGGTACTTCCTAGTTCGGTACTTCCATTCCTGATCGGACCCGGTATACGGAGAGACCGTGAGCGTCTCTGACTGTTATGATTACATTCGGGACTCGCGCGATTTTTCGCGCAGCCTGATCCGCCGGGCGAATCTGCGAGCAATGTTTCCATGTTGTTCCATTGTTTATTTGGAGCAAATTTCCGGCCGGATAGGGGTGGTCGAAAAGGCCATGGCCGAGGTCCAAGGCAGCTCGGAACAGACCCAGTCTTGCCATGGGAGAAGAATGTTCTCGTCGTGATCTCGCTCCATGGGATCGCCTCAAGACCAGACGATCTCCTCTTAAGCGGTATGAACGGGATGGCCCTCGCTTAGGGCAGAATGAAGTCGCCAAGCGCTCATCGCGCCGCTAGATGAGAAATACTCATTTGCAATTTTTCTGCGTGCTCTTGGACTTCAATCCCAGATCGTGTGAGCGCAAGCTCTCGCTGTATACTGTTGATTTCTGTCGCGAACGTCGTGATCAATCCCCGGTGATTCCCGCGCCACCTGATCTCTGCTCCTGGACTGTTCCAGTCTAGGTGGAAACTGGGAAGTAACAAACGGATCATTGGCGTCTCCCTGATTTTTCTGATTTACGCGCACGCGATGTGTTTCCAAATCGCGTCGAGGGAAGGTGATCTCACGAAAAATATATTACGGAGACAGCTCTGCCGAAAGGTATACCTGTGAGAAAGAGAAGAAAGCGGATTCCGAATTGAGTAAAGCAACGAAACTCGTGAGTCGTAGACCGAAACGACGCGACGGGCAATGAAACAGACCTTCTGGAAAACGGACTTCTGAAACGACGAACAGACACCACGCGAATGGCGAGTCGATGCTTGCGGACGTCACTCGATCGTTGCGTCATTTGTTCAGTTAGCCGGTCCATGAGCCGATCGGGTTGATTGACTGAACCCACAGAATAGCCCTGTGGACATGCTACGACGTAAGATGTATGTCGGCGCGGGGACATTCCACAGAAGTAAACGACGGCGCGGAGATTCGGTGTAGGTACGTACTTTTTATCGGGACCATGGAATAATAAGGACGGGACTTTACTCTTGATTCGACGGCCAATCAGACAACTAATCGCTGAAGTTGACGCCGGGAATCATTTCGAGATAATTGTTGTGACGTAACGTAGTTCGGGAAATTTTCCAGAAACGTCACGAACGCATCAACATTCCGTCTCGGAGTCTCAGTCTGGTTCCCGAAAATGGGCATCAGGTCTCCAAGGCTCTGTTCCCGCTAAATGACGATTCTTATCTGCCCTGAGTCATGTTGTGGTGAATGTTTGTGGGAAATACTCCCTTTTTGAAGCAGTCGACGGAATGTTCCTCTGTTCTCCCTCGTTTGCCCAGCTCGTCGTTCCGAGCAGAAATTGTCCAGCGTGAAGCGTGGTTCAAGATCAAATCTTGGAAGAATCGACGTTGTTAGTTCACAAAGGGAACTTCGATTTGAGGACGCGTGGATCAAAGGAAAATCCTCCGTTCATTCATAATAACGAATGCCTTTCCATACGCATCAGCTTCAACTTTTATTCTATTGAAGAATTCGGCGTCGAAATTCCCCACCAGTGCTGGCAGCAGAAGCGAAAAGAGCCGGTATGATCTTCTGAGGCACGAAGTGTGGAAAGACGTGAAAACCTTGGTCCACTTTCCGATGGCATTGGTTAACAGGCGCTAGTGATCCGGCTAGATTTAACTAAATGTCAGCGTAGTAAGTCGTTTAGCCATTGGGAAAATCTCACTTTCAACCGAAAGCCGAATTCCCACGGCGATCCGCCCGAAGGAAAAAAACATGTCGTTGGCATAGCATTCCGTCGAGAACGAATAATTGGAATCGGAGCTCCTGCACCTCTGCAGAAATTCTTGCGGTGACGTGGCCGGATATGGGTCGGGTTTCGAGTCCGAGCTACAGGGGTACCGAAGTTCGGAGTTACTCGAGCCGGGGGAGCGTTTCCACTTGGAGGAAAGAGAAGAATAGAGAATATTTTCGAGAATATATTCCGCCACCTAAATTCTCCAAACGCTGAATAATTCGTCACGACAAATGCATCCGTCTCATTCCCAGGGATTCAACAGAAGTTCTCATTTGAATTACAGGTATCGGTATGGATGACACGTTCGTGCTGCTGGCGGCTTGGAGACGAACGGATCCCCGCAAATCGGTCGTAGAGCGCATGGGTGAAACCTACAGCGATGCCGCCGTTTCCATCACCATCACCTCGCTTACGAACTCGATCAGTTTCACGATTGGTGGGTACACTCGAGCGTCTCTCACTTATATCGAGGCTAACGCGTCATGTTCACCAATGCTCACGGTTACTCGCTCACGCGCGAATTCCTCGACGGCGCCACAAATTAGTCATCACATTATCTCAACGTATATCTCCCTTATTTACAGGAGCCGTGTCGATATTTCCTTCCGTGAAGATCTTCTGCATCTACACGGCGATATGCGTCGTGTTCACCTACCTGTATCAGGTTTCGTTCTTCGGCGCTTGTATAGCAATAGCAGGTTATGCCGAACGTCGCAATCTTCACGGTCTCTTCTGTTTCCCAACTCTGCCCCGCTCACTGTCCAAGGGTAAGCCGTGGTGGTTCAAGCTCCTGTGTACCGGAGGCTTCAACCCGAACGACCCCAAAAACCCGAAGGACAATGAAGAGCACTGTATGATGGTGTTCTTCCGCGACACATGGGGAGGCATGCTGAGCAAGGGCTGGGTCAAAGTGACCGTAATTCTCTGCTTCTTGGTCTACCTGGCAATCGGAGTCGCGGGTTGCTTCCAGCTCAAAGAAGGACTCGAACGGTAAGCTTTCGCCGATCGGCTCACCGATCAGCAGCAGAGCAAACAATTCATCAATGCTGACGAGCTGCCTTCGATTGTTGGTCCCAAAAGACTATTTTCGCTTCCTTCTTGATTGCTTAATGATCGAATGCTCTGTGTTCCAGATACAAATTGGCTACGGATTACAGTTACGCCAAGACGTTCTTCAATGTCGACGATCACTACTTCAGAAAGTATCCCTATCGAGTTCAGCTGTTCACCAATGTCAGCATCGACTATTGGAATCCGGAGACGCACGAGTACCTAATGGACGTGCTCGACGACTTTGAGAGCAGCGCCTACGTCGGCAACACAGAGCTAACCGAGTGCTGGTTCAGAGAGTTCCGGCACCAGGCCGAAACGAACGAGCAAGCAAAAGTGTTCCTCGGCTCGTTCGACTTGACCATAAAAGAAGACTACATGAAAGCGCTGAAACACATGCTAAGAGTGAAACCGTTCTCGATGTTCAGCCGGGACATTAAATTCAACGAGGACGGCTCGGAGATCTTGGCTTCCCGATGCATAATCCAAGCGACGGATATCATCGACGCGAACGACGAGAAGGAGATGGTGCTCGACTTGCGGCGCATCGCCGAGAAATACCCCGATTTGGACCTGAGCGTTTACCACACTCTGTTCATTTTCTTCGATCAATTCATCTTGGTACGCAGCACCAGTTTGCAGAACATTGTGATCGCTGCTCTGGTGATGGTCGGAGTGGCCATAGTGTTCTTGCCGAACCTGTCGTGCGCTTTCTGGGTTTGCTTCTCGATGGCTTCGATCGAAATCGGCGTGCTCGGCTACATGACCTGGTGGGAGGTGAACCTCGATTCGATATCGATGGTGAATCTTATCATGTGCATGGGATTCTCGGTCGATTACTCCGCACATATTTCCTACGCGTTTCTCACAGCGCCCGAACGGGACCCGAATGCGAAAATGCGCGAGGCACTTCACAGCGTGGGATTGCCAATCTTTCAGGGTTCCGTCTCCACCATCCTCGGTATCATAGTTCTGGCATTCGCGCCTAGCTACATATTCCGCACTTTCTTCAAGACTGTGTTCTTGGTTATTGTGTTCGGTGCACTTCACGGCGTCGTCTTGCTCCCCGTCCTCTTGTCGTTGAGTGAGAGCTTGTGCAAGAAGAGCAGCCAGAAGGCAACTTTCGGTCTCGACGAAGAGAACCGGCCCGATCACGGCCATGTTGCGTTCATTTACGGCAGCAGTCCACCGCAGGGCCACCAATTGTACAAGCCCACTTTCGACAGTATAGTGAACTTCGAGCCCAAGGGCTCAGATTTCTACTCGCCGTACGAAACGACGCCAGACGCGACCTATCTCAACAAGGGCTTGGTTTTGTCCGAGACCGAGGGCGATCTGCGTCTGGGCAGTCTCGTCACGCCGGGTAATATCGTGCCTGAGGCAGGTGAGAAAGTCAACCCTGCTTATCTCGAGGAAGAAGAAGAGGAGGAAGATAAGGAGGAAGCTGCTTCTCAGAAGTCATCCGACAGCGGACTGGCCGACACCGTGGAGTACAGCGGACAGAAGAAAGAGCCTCAGTCGGCAAACATGTACCATATGTAGATAAAACATGATTATAGTTATGAAATGCCACGCTAGGACGAACGCGTAAAGTGAATTATTGCCTAAACAAAAGGACAGATAGAATTTTTCGAATTCGATCCACAGTGACCGACACCAGTTTTCTAGATTTTCTAGGAGAACCATCCAAGAGGGCTTTGCGAGAATATCCCTCACTCTGTGCCAGTGTTGTGCTTACCTGAGCCGAGAGGATCAGAAAAGGTCGTGACTTGCCCTCGCACGTCGTCAGTTGGGAATCGAGCCTCCTGATGGCGTAACGCGTTAAGTAAGAGCTCTGCTTTCGAGACTCGCGCTAGAGATCCTAGAGAAACCGCTGACTGTTTGTTATGATGAACCTGAGATGCGCGTCAGCGTCGAGCGTACCTATTGCATCTTTCCTCTTCGATGAAGGCCAGGCGCCCAGCAAAGCTCCGAGCGGCAAAACTAGTCTGAAGAAGAAGTCTCAACTCTCACAGCGGAACTCTTCGAGAACAATACTCCGCAGGTATTTTGTCGCAAAAGTTTCGGGGTAGTATGATAAGTTTCAATATTTATTCAATGAGGAGGTGTTCCTGCTGTTTTGTGTGCTCATGATGACGAAATAAATAACTTCCCTGTCGATCAGTCGGTTTCCTACTTTTTCCTGCCCGCTCGATGCTACCGATCCGGGACCTCGGTGAAGTATTGAGTCGGAAGAACGATTTTAGAGACTAAGCATACCGTAGAGCCGCAGAGTACATGTACTCATCTCGAAACATATCGCGAGCATTATAGACTCGGAAGGTATCCAAGTCCGTAGCGATGATCCATCATTGTGACACGGACGGTACAGGGAGGAAGGGAGCTGCGGCGCGAGCACAAGGATCGTGGAAGTCGAAACACTTGGACTCGATATATGTACATATCGATGGCATTTGGATGGAGGCAGCGTTGGGTTGGGATTGTGCTTACTCAGCGGGAGGAAACTCGAGGTCCGATGATTGGAGCGCGAGGAGATGCGATTCTATCGTGGTTTGGGGTTTGACACCGGAGGCTTCTGCTTAATTTATAACGTCGAGTTGATGGTATAGGTCAGTGGTTCCCAAACTTTTGACGTGAAACGTCTTTAATTTCGACTTTGGGGGCGCGTTCAATGTACTTCGTCCTTCATGTAACGATTTAAGGCCGCCTCTGAGAGGCTAGAACTATCTTAATTGTGCACAGAATTTTTGTCGGATTGTATTGATCGGCAGACAATTTACGGGACAATCTTCTATTCGAGTTTGAAATGAATCTGAGAATGTTAAGAGCCCTTACGACCCGATTTCCAATCATACTGATAATCTCCGCGGTCACTTGATGAATATGTCTCCAGAGCCTATGAACATTGGATTTCAAAGCTGATTCGACTTACAAGCCAAAGCTAGTGTCTTTGGTCCCCCTGCGCAACTCGAGGATCTGGCTCTCAAGTTCCGAAGAATGTTTTATTTAGAAGGAAATAGTATGTTATCCATCCTGATCATATACATACATATATGCACATCGTTTTTTATGGAACGATTTCTGGCTAGCTGTGCGGTAGATGTTCCTTGATTGTGCGTCGCGCACGGGATTCCTAGTCTAGTATATCTATCGATGAGTATTAGGGAGCTGCATATGTTTCGGGCCCTATTTTCCGAATGATGATATTTCCGTTCTGAGACATGTGAGAACCCTCATTGGTTTTTGCGGTGGCTGCTACATTTGTCGGTCAGCAGAAGATTTGATCAGCTTTGAAGGACCGTACAGGCTCTCGAGGACGCTACATGATATGGAGGTTGTTGTGGCCTATGCAACGGAATAAACTGTCCGACCGATATATGCCATAGGCGAAAATGAGCTCTTCATAAGATTACGTCGATTGATAATAAGGATCGATGAATATGTGTTGGAAACGAAAATCGAGAGGATATTTATCGGCGCTCGTGAAATGGGAGTGATCGTTGATATATGAAGATCGCTGGAGAAGACATCAGATCAAAAAGCACCATGAACAACAGCCTAAAGTCAGACAGCAGTAATTGCTGATGACCACCAATATCATGAGCCGACGGTGTTCCTTGTTCCCCACTTTCGGAGATCGTGACCGGTTCTTATCCGCCAAATCGGTCTGATTCCAACACGATTTGAAGTTCGCGGTGATCATACGGAGTCACAGGCTACAGGAACCTTAGATCCCTGTCGATTTAGATATCATAAGACCGCAAGAGAAGATCAGTAATGCTCATGTATAGGAGCGGATACCCATTTTGGACCCTTGGCCTCCCCCAAAGTCGGTCTGGGTCCCCCCAAAAAAATATCCTGGGTACGCCCCGGGAGAAGATATCAAATCGAATAGCACCATGAACAACAGTCAGGAGACAGACAGCAGTAATTCCTCATGACCATCTATATCATGACGGCCGACGGAAGACGGGGTATATAAAGCACCATTAAAAATTATCTGTCATGCATTTCGTCTCGACAACGAATACAGTCATCGACGATGCAGAGAACGACGCAAATACAGCTAGGCTTCAAGGATGCTTCGAAGCCGAAGGTTGTAATGAAGAATTTGAAGATATGACTCTCAACGGTGCGGCAGAATCATAAATTCCATAAGCATTCATCATCAACGCTGTTATTTATAAAACCTCTAATCTATTAAGTTTGTGTAGGGAAGAAAACGGATCACATCAACAGATTTGCGGCAGATTTTGTAATGATGAAAAGGAGCTGGGTTTTGTTCACCGTTTTGGCGTAGGCGTTTCACGTCCTATCACGGTAGTGTCATGACACTACCTGCGTGAAATTTTTTCTTCCGCGGAACCCTTCGCGGAACCCCTAGTGTTCCGTGGAACCCTTCCCCATTTTTCACAAAATTCAAAGTCGTGTCAAATGCTCTTCCCTTTCAGCTATTAGAGGAGAGAACACGCGTTTGTTCCGGACCAGACCCGAATGTTTATTGCTTAAGTCAATTCTTGCGTGAAGGAATGCTCATCTAGTGGGAACGTACCTTGTGCAACCACCTTCGCAGTGTGCATTCGATGCCGATCGATGCGCCAATTAGAACGCCCCCCTCCGGAATTGTGGAAGACATTTGGAATCAGGAAAAGAAGTTCCCCGTATATGACCGTACATATGGAAGCAAAACCTCGTCGCGGAACCCCGAGTTGCGCAAAGAGCAGCCCACGGAACAGCGGGGTTCCGCAAAGATTTTTTCACGGAACCCCCGGGAAAGAGCGACGGAACCCCAAGGGTTCCGCGGAACCCAGTTTGGGAACCTCTGGTATAGATCAGCGCCCCCTGATTTCCTTTTAGCGCGGGACTCCCTCCGGAGTTCTCGACTGCGCTCTGGACCCCAAGCGATGTCTTTCCGAACGCACTGGTCGGTGGCTTGTCTAAAGAAAGAATATTTCTTTCTTCTGCATCGAATGAGCCCCTCGCACCGGGGATCGTCGATACTTTCGCGAGCTTTACCGAATTTATTATTTCGAAGGATCACTATACCTATGACTCAGCTTCTTCGACCTTCGGGACCACCAAGAACGGGTTTCCTAGACCCCCAAGGGGTCTCAGGACCCTCAGGGAGCTCTTGATTTCGACTCTTCCCGAACCGAATTCATACTTCGCAAGATGCCGATCTTTCCTGTCGCGAGAACCCTCCCCTCCAGCGAACGGACGGCTAGCCGAGCTCCAGGACCTCGAATCTCAGCTTCGCAGATTTCGACTCAGATCCGCACGCCGAGGGGACCTGTTGGGTGTTCATGAATTCCTTATGACCGTTTCCACTCGCGAGCCTGGGGCAACCATCATGCATAGGTCGAGGTGGGCATCCATCGCGAGATTTTCCCGGGGTTTCACGGAATAGTCCAACTCCAATAGATTTCCTTCGGAGAACCGGCCCGGAATTTCTCGAGACGAGAACTCCGTTGCAAGCGCGATCAATGCCGATGAGAATCATAGGCGTATAAGGAGCCCGGCGGCAATTTCGGAATACCATGCTTAATCTCCCACCAAAGTAGTCTTGAGGATTCCGCCGAACCTGAACTCTTACGGAGGACTCGCTCTCTCGACTTCCTCATCGCTGGCTCTATCGAGATAGGAATATATTCACGATCTTTTCGCGGAGGATAGGGAAAAATATCATTCGGTACTCTTCCGGCCCCTCTGACGTTGGAATTCCACTTCCCATGTATTGCTTCCATGGAGACTCCATGCCTCGGGAAAAAGACTCGGTCAAATCCTGGGGGAATTTCCGTCGCAGCTCATCATTCATTGAATTACGAGGAGGCTCCTCCGTATTCAGGCAAGATTTCCCTGAACAGCTGTAGCAGGTTCCGCGGTGTAGCACCCTCAAACCCCCACCTCGAGCCGAGGCGGTTGAGGGTAGCGGCGGTTGCGTTTGTGGCGAGGGTGAGCATCAGAGTCCTCTGACGGATGAAAAAGAGAACTTCACGGGGTCCGGCTGCTCGACGAAGGGTGTGACGTCATCCAACAACACGGGCTTTTGCACAATAAAACAAACTTTCCACATTCCGCCTTAAGAAAGCAGTCCGTTCATCGAAGCAATTACGATCAAACGCTGTCTGCGGCTGATTAAACAGCGACGAACTGCGAATGCACTCCTCCGAAGAGGAATACGACCGCTGTGGGTGTACACAGCGCGCCAAGTCGACGGGTTGCTCAGATTCATGCGGAATCCTGCGGGGATTGCATTGCAATCTCCTCCGATTCCGAGGCAAAGGGAGCAGCGTTCACCGAGAACCGCTCTTGGGTGCTCCAGGACCAGCAAGAGGGATCCGCCGACTCGAAAACGACAAAAAAATAGCGGCTTCCCGAGCTGGATGGTGGGTGTCGACAGGGGCGCCCTCTACGCGGGAACCAACCGCTCGTCCTCCTGAGGCAGAGCTGCTCTCTCTACGGAGCAGGAATGTTCGGCTGGAATGAAAGCACGATCATGCTGTAACCACGGTGAATTTTCAGCTGTCTTCGTTGAATCGGTGGCGGCTGTAGCGACGAGTCTACCGCCGCTCTCAGAGAGTGAAAGCTCCTCGAAGGCTGTGGCCGGATGCCCCCTACGCAAAGGTATGAGAACAAAACACTCTCCGCGCACTTAATGGCAACATTCGCACGCTTACGTTATTTTTCGTTCGCGTAAATTATCGACAGGAGCCTCGCTCGGAAAAGACGCTCATCTCGCCATCGACTCGCGGATCAGCGGAGGAAAACGTCCCGCTGCTGTTCCAGGCGCTCGATCGGCTTTCGAAACTCCGTGGTTCCTCACTTCACGGGGCTTCCGGGGAAGCTGTAGCGCTTTCTAAACAATCAGCCCGAGCGTTCTTGGAATTTCCCCTTCATTATTCAAAGAGGTGATTCCCAGGAGCTCCAGGGCGGCTTCCCGATCAAAATTTGCTTTTTTAGTTCGTTATACCGTGGAAAGATACTTTTCGGCACGATTCTAATTTCGATCCATCGGAATCAGTGCCAGAGGATGGTCTTCTCATCGCTCTCGATATTCCGGAGCTCTGGATTTGCTAACCGGGACTCTCAATGATCAGAAAGTGCCTCTTACGCAGGAAACTGGGCGGAAATTAGCGATCCTTACCGTGAAACTGCCTTGATGTGCGGCCCGCGATCGATTTCTTTCGGATCGATGGGAAAAGAAGTTTTCCGGGGGGAAATCCCCATCTCGCCGCCCTTACGTCGAATCGCGATCGGAGGAGGCGTATTACCGTACTCGCCAGAAGGACCTTGACCATTCTTGTCAACACCAGTGATCGTGCTGCAGAATGTAGGTCAGCGGCTGGGAGTCTCCCAGTTCTCCGCTTCGCACGGTCGCTGCGCGGCCGGTCCCGCTGATCCCGCACACTGGATCATTCGCAGCCCCGACTTACGCCGGAATGATTCCGCTTGGCTGAGTGAGTATTTTTTCCCTCGGCTGGCTCCTCACGTTGTATGTACGCGGCGCGGCTACGCTCTCTGCGTTCATGGAGCCCAGAGCCCAATGATGGACTCTCTGACAGCGGGGCGAGCGAATCAGACGGTGCTGTCCTTGTGGCTCCAGCTGCTCCAGATGTAGCGGCGCGACTCTCAGACCCTCCTGAACCCCAACTCATGCGATTAGCGGTTTCATTACCGACAAATTGGAACCGATCCCGTATCACGATTCGACTCTGCTGCGTTATTGATTCGTTATAATGACAGAAAAGAACGCGTTTTCCGGGGTCGTTCAGCCTCGCTCGGTTCCGAATGCGAAGCGGAACCTACGTCTACTCGCAAACTCTCGATGCAGCGTGTTCTCAATGAAGCGCGCCACTAGTCCCGCGGAAATCGCCCAGGAGACAGAACCGACGGGTTACACGAGTTTTCCTTTCCCATGAGCAGGAGCAGAAGGAGGAAAATACTATTCGCTCCTTCAAGAAGCGAGCCATCGATCTGATGACGTCAATGCAACGTGTGCTGACGTCAGAACAGCTGGAAAGAGTACACGGCGACCGGGACCCACGGTCGGAGAGGGTCGCTGTTGCATTGCTCACGAGATCGTGTTTCGTACTCGCTTACCGGGCTAGTCGATGGAATTCGTATGCGGGATCGGCTTTTGAGATACGGCAAGAGGAATGATGGATGTCTCTCCGCGAAGCCCACTCGCCGCACCCACGGCTAAGCGCCCTTCCGGGATCTCAGAATGAGGCGGGCGTACTCGAATGGGACCGACAACCAGAATGGAGGTTGGGGACTGGGAGCACTCGCGATCTACGTCATCGCGGCGCTTCGTTGACGTCAACGGGATTCAGCGTTAATCTCCCCCGTGGTTGCTAGAAAATTCCAGCTGATCTGCACCACCACCGTTCCGTATCACATAACGACAACGAGCCCCGTGCTCCCGGAGTCTCCCGCCCTCGGTCATCCACAGCCGAGTGGAGCCTCCGGCGCTTTGACATGACAGAGCCAGAAAGGCGGGAATCGGCCTTGTGAAGTGTCCGATACGGGAACTCGATTCAGTACGCCCACCCATGGAGCTGAGAAGAAATAAAAAATTCACTTTCAGTCTATTCCGAGAGTCCTGGGAGGTCCCAAATATGAATCAGCTGAAAACCAGCTCCTACGCAAAGTTTCAGCTCTGACCGGAGAGACGACCGTCGAGGCGGAGGAACTGCTCGAAATTTCTCTCGAGCACCTCAGTCTCTTCGGTCGCAGCCCCCGTGCCGGTGAACTCGTCAAAGCAATCGGTGCTCCGTAAGGATCCTGACTCAAGGATGGTTGAATTCTGTTCCAGGCTGCGTTAGGTGAGGCAATGGCTGATTCCGCCGAAGAAGTCGACTAAAGGGTCCTCGGCCGTCTCGGCCATGCCGGAGGGCCCAGGAGGAGGTGAGGGGGACCTCCGCGCTCGATGCGTGGCCCTCGAGAAAGCTTACGTGCACGAGGTTTACAAGCAACTTTCGGCCAACAACAACAATCAAGTGCTCGGAGGTGCACCTAAACTACTCGCCAATGTGACGGCTTTCCTAAGCGAACTGGAACCGGGGAGCGTCGTGGCTGATGTGGGATGCGGTCCCGGGAGATATCTCTCGTGTCGACCCGACATCGCTATGGTCGGTGTGGACGCTTGCTGGGGGATGACGGAGCTGTGCCGTACGCGCAGCGGCCAGAACGTAATGTGCGCCGACAATTTGAACCTGCCTCTGAGAGACGAGGCTTTCGATGCCGTCATCTCGATAGCCGTGATTCATCATTTCGCATCAAAAGAACGCCGAATCGAAGCTCTCAAGGAGCTCGCCCGCATCACCCGCATCGGAGGGCGGGTACTCATAACTGTTTGGGCGATGGAACAGGATTCGAATCGACGATTTGAGTCGCAAGATATTCTCGTGCCTTATCGACAACCCTCCATCTGCACTGCTTGTCATCACAGTTCACATGGAAACAACTATGTGCAAACTACCCTGCTGAACAACCTTTCAAGTAAGATCCTTTTGCTCAGTGGATCGATTTCCTCGATGCGGATAAGAGCGCAGAGCCGTTGTGGAGAGCTGGGTCGAATGTAAGGATCTGGGAGCCAAATCCCTGACGGTGATCCCCCGTAATTCCAGATTCTTTAAGCGGCGCAAACAGTGGATCAAACAAACTGCAGAAGCAGTTGCGTCGATCGTGTGCAGTGAGCTACAGCACTGCTACCTCTGAGGATGACTGCCAATCTGAACGCGATTTCAGCATTTACAACAAACCAAGGTCAGCGAGGCCAATGCCGAAAATCCTTCCCGAATCTCATGTGGCGAGAAGACACTTCTCCGTACTTCTTGACCCAATACCACCTAATACGGACGAGCCAGCATCGAATTGTCGAATCTCCATTGATCTCTGAACTCAACTTCCGCCTGAATATCGGTTCCTCTCCCCTTGACACCGACATACGTTTCCATTCCGCCATTGACCGGTACAAGCGGAAAGAAAGCGTGTCTAGTGAAGTCATAGAGAAAATGCGCGAAATTCCCGCGAAATTTGACGACCTGCTTCTGTGAAGCACCCGCTACTGCACATCTACCCAGTTGTCTCGGTCGGGAGTTTCTACCCGATGAGTGCCATAGTGGCACCGATTCGCTCGCACGCGCGAAGACAGTCAGGTCATGCTTGGACGAGCTGCACTCGAGCTGACGCACGCTTCGAACGCTTGTTCCAGACTACGCCGCTGGGCGTTCACGCGCGGCCGCAGTTTGGAGGACAGCTACAGCTCGGACCAGTCGAGTCCCTCAGACACGTGCTACTCGTTCGTCCGCAGGGCAGTGCAGAGACTATCGTCAGCTTCGTCGAGCGAGAGCAGACGAAGCTATTTCCACAAGATCTGTAGACGACCGTGGCTGACGGATTCGACGGATTCGGGGACGGGAATAAATGTATCCCTCTCTTCTGCTGAGCGTATGAGCGAGAGTCCAGATTTATATGAAGGTGATTATTATTAGGGATCGAAGTGTGTATCATGATGAAGATCATCCGTTTGAATTAGGGATATCGACTCGTTTGCCTGTCCCGCGACGACAGGGAGACTCAGAAAGTGGTGAACATATTCGCGTATTCGCTCGAATTGCAGAGGAGGCCCAATCCGAGAGGCATGATGTTTCCAAGAGCGAAAGCTTCGACTCGGACGACTTCTGCGAAGACAACGGCTTCATCGAGTTGCAGAATCTCGATCCGGAGTCGCCAGAAGAGCAACAGGACCGTCAGCAGGACGACGGGGAGAATCCGCGAGATCGAGTGTCGCCTCTGTTTTCATCTAGCGGTCTAAAACACAAGTCTCGTTCACTCGGAGACATGTTCAGCATGATTCCATCGCTGCTGATGAGATCCCGGAGAAGACGTTCGGCCCGGAATGTCGATCTCCAGAAGAGAGCCTCCACCGTCAGCGATCCCCGCGAGTACCTGCTGCGATCCAAAGAAAAGTCGTTCGTTTCTCGCTCGTCATCAACCACTTCCGAGGGCTTCATGCGATTCGACTACTTCAGGTTAGAGCGAATTTCTTTTCTCTCGTTGTCGCGTTCTAGCGCCTGACACGGACGACGCATCATATGTATTCTCTCCTCCCGACAGCTTCTAAAATCACCTTTCGCCCTGTGCGATATATTCATTATTTTCCTCATATCTTGAACTTCGAATCAACCATAACGATTCGAGTACGTTCGATGCAATACAGTATTCTTCTGATTCAAGGGGAGCTCGCGGATCGTATTGCTTCCGGTATATTTGATGATTGAATTATTGATGACGTTCCCCGCAGATTTCTGGAAGAACTCAGCCCAGACGAGAGCAATGGTAACGGCAGCACAACAGCAATCCATGAAGAGGATAAGAGCGATTCGATCGGGGAGAATGAGCCACTACTTCGAGTTTCCGATGAAGATTCAGGGGGAGTCAGTCCATCTTCATGGTGGAGTCCACAAACCAACGTGAGCAAAAATTTCCGAGCAGATTCCGATTTCTGCATTCCCTCGCAGCACACATGAAACGCGCGCCGTACGAATGTCGAGCATAATTATCAGTCTCATCCGAATCGGGAGACCCTATTGAATTCCAGGAGATGGGCGAAGGAATTTATACATCAGAGGCGAGTACGCAAGCGTTGCCCTGTGAATCGAGGCTGCCTCAGGATAGATCGACTCCGGAAGCCGGCGTAGACGGTGTGCACCATGCGATAGCAAGCACAGAGCAAGACGTTGCCCTGTCTGCACGAGCTGAAGGCAAGGACAGCACGAGTTCTGTGCCCACGCAAGAGCAGCAGAAAGTTCAATCGCCGCAGCAGCTGCTGCTGCTTCCACAGCAAGAAGAACAACGGAAATCGCAACAACAACAGGCGTCATCGACGTCGCCGCCTGAAACACCGCAGGACAGACCCGCGTCGCATTCTCAAGGCAGCCATGTGTCACCCCCACTTCATCCGCAAGTGGCATCGATACAGCTGCAAACGCCACATATAGATCTAGCTAGTCGCCGTAGGTTGAAGGTAGGTCGCTGGAAGCTTCCTATGCCTAGAAAGCTTGGAGCGAGGCTTGTGAGCGATAGAAGAGCAAAAAACGAGGCTCACGAGAAGGTGCAAGGATTTGCTCACCCGAGTCGACGGTAACTAACTGCTGATTGCCGTCGCAGTTTCAAGGGACTCGGCTTCAAGAAAAAGCTCTTCGAAACCAGTTCTCTAAGAAAAGTTCATTCGACAAATTTCTCCGGAAGCGCACCCTGGCAACGAGAGGCTACTGCTCGATGCCAAATCTCAGCGTTCTGTCCGCGTCGTTCAACGATCGCTCGCCCGCGAGTCATCTCCGAGTGCTACTCAAGCGGCCGCCGGCGCCGGACATTACTGAATTCGAATTGAAACTCGGTCTCATAGATGAAGACGGTAACCTTCGCAATCCCCTGCGTCCAGCCGAGCATCGGTAAGATCTACGATCCAGCGTAGCTCTGCGGAGGCTTTATCATCGCTCCAGCATAATTTTCCATCCAAGACCCTATCGCGTTTCGATCTATCCCGTACCGTTACCCGCTCAGCAAATTGCTCTCCCCATAGAACCCCGCCTGTAGAACGAATTTAATTCCCTAAAGGATCTATGCTGGAGCTGGACCCCGGCTTCGTAGGCTGGAACCTGTCAGTTGAGACACATGATGTCGTATGTCGTCTGAGTCCGACTTGATCATTTCTTCAATCCGCGCAGGGGATCGTTCTCCTCGCACGTTCCTCTACGGTTGCCGGCAAGGAGGAGTTTGAGTATCGAAACGGGAGCGTCCGGGAGTACCTACCACGGTTTGGGTTTACCGCCGCAGCCCTCCCTGCGATCCGCACTTAACAGACGGTACTCTTTGTCGGCGGTTCAGGGAACTTCGTGCAGCCTCATGCCTGGGATTCTATCGAGGAGCTGGGTGTCTAAAGCTAGGCATGATAGGTGAGTACAATATTTCCTCCTCCTCTTCACCCGGCTTCAACCCCAGGTCCAGACTCCAGGACACACCTTTTAATTCCTTCTTCAATTGTTCGCAGTTTGAAAAGTGACACAAGCGTAGAGTCCGAGTCGGATTCGGTGGTCTCTGTGATCTATCGCTCGAAGGCTTCCGGTAGCGGAAGCGCCGGCAGTATCGGGGGTGGACTCAGTGACAACAGCATCGACAGTGAAGAGAGCATTGTGTCCGTGATCCACCGATCGACGGAGGATACAACTCGCGCCGGCTCTAATGGAAGCACAAATGGAAGCCGCTCGTGGCAAGCGTCCCCGCTCACCATCTCTCAGGCAAACAGTCGGGAAGGATCGTTCAGCTCACCTGAGTATTCACCCACTCTGAAAAGTATACCTGTGAAAGCATCCGAGAAAGTCGCAAGTCGGCTGTGGGAGACTTCGCTACTCGAAGTCGAAGGCGAACACACACCGGAGCGAGGACAAACACCTCAACCGGTGAGTGCGGGGAGCCGCTCGGGAGAATTCAGTCGATCGTGCTTTTTTTCATGGAGAGAAATTCATTCATTCCACAGACCCAGACGGCAGCAGCCAGCGATAGTCAGGACTGCGAGACGACCTTGGCCGTTGATGATGGTTCGCTCGCTTCCATAGTTCAACTGGATGATGATTTGTTGGTCAGCACTGGTGGAGAAACGGTCGAGACGAAAGATCCCAATCAGCTAGATGACGTACCGAGCGGTCCAGCTGAACCGAAGGCGTCCAACTCGCCTCAGCTGTCGCCATCATCGTCGTCGGATGACGCCCCGTACATGTCTGATGAAGAGGTGCAATGCGAAGACATTCCGGAGAGCTTCGAGTTATTAGAGGTCACAGAGTCACAGAAAACTCAACCAGATCAGAGTAGGCTTCAACCGCCCACTTCACGTAGAATGTGTTCCCCAGTCGATCCCCTGGATATCGACGACGAGTCAATTCTAGAATCGATTCCCGAAGAGGACGAATCGTGCAGTCCAGTCAAGTCTCCGAGAAGCAGCAGCAGCAAGCAACAGGGAGGGACGGAGCAGGGCTCAGGAGAACAGGACACCCATTTTCCAATGCCTTCTGTACCTGATCGAAGCAACCAAACGCAAACCCCAACGCTATTTGACGTCTCTACCGCGAAACGGGCACTGTCTGCGCAGAGTTTACTTTCGTCGCTGCCGCCCGCTGAGCTAGAGGTGCCCCCGAGGCTAGTCGTTCCCTCGGGGAGTCAGGAGCACGAGCAGCAGGACCAAAACGAGAGCGCTCTTTTAAAATACTGCGGTGATAGCAGCAGCAGACATCAGATCACTTCATCAACAACACCAACCAAGAAAGTGCATTCAATCGTACCTGAACAGGAGTCGAGTGCCAATAGTCCAAGTTCGTCGTCAAGTTCTACAAGTTGTAGTGAACCGTGTTGTGTAGGGATTTCACCGATCGGCGTCGGCGCAGCTGGTGGAAACAGTAGCGGTAGCAACATCAACAACGCCGGTGTTTCAGGTGCCGGCGATGCGAGTGCATCGGTGAAGCCGATCGGAGCGCTACCCGTCAGCAGGCTCTGCCAACAGAGCTGTCAGGATTGCTGTCGCCGAGCCAGTGATGTGGGCCCTCAAAGTAAAAGCCCCAGAGACAGGGCGAAATTTTCACCCCAATACTCGTTACCTGAACAGAACAAGAAACAGCAGCAGCATCAAGTACAGCAACAGCAACAGCAGCAGCAACAACAACAACAACAACAAGAGCTCACCGCTTCATGCGAGCAGCTATTTAGAAGAAAACTCTCCCCGCAGAGACAGCAACAGGAAGTCCAGCGCACTAGCGATCCCCTCCATGAATTGCTCCGCGGTCCCACGCCCAAAACATCATCTTCATCGTCATCCTCAGCAGCTACATCGTCTACTCAACAAAGCTCAGATCTTTCGTTGTCCTACTCTGATGATCAACGAGGACGATGCTCCGTTTCGCCGGAGCATCCGAGTTCTTCGTCTTCGTCGGCGTTCAGTCCTCGAAGACGAACCCCCGACCTCCTCCGGACGTCGCCTCTCGAGATGCTCGCTCAGGAACTTCGCTCCAGCACCGACGACATGTACCGCAGGGCCACCGAAAACATCTGTGCGCTGCACATAGATCCGCAGATTGAAAGGTCAGTTCAGAATTCTGGTTGGCGGACCTTCCGGAGGGAAGGGGACCAGATATTCCAGAGAAAGAACGAGAAAGTTGAGGAGCGATTCTAGGACGGAGAGTAAGGATGCCTCTAGGGTCTAGAGAATTAGATAAGATGCCTCGGTCGAAAATCCGATTGTATCGAGCGATCTCGAAATTCCCTAATCCTTGGCCAGGCGAAGCTCTCCGGAGCGAAGACGTACTCCGGATTACACCCGATCGTCGCCAGACCCGAGATTCGAGGACGCTCCTGAAGATTATCCGAACAAATCACCCATGGATTACAATTATTGGGACGACTGGCTACCGCAGGCTTTGTCCAGGATCTACGCAGCCAAATCGACCTATGAGTGCGAAGAGCTCTGCGATCAGCTCACCGAATTGCCGGAGTTCGCCTCGCAGGCCACCAGGTAAACCAGCGCGCCAAATCGATCGGTAATTATCGTTTTCGAATGAAGTGCGGGCAGGTTTCTATTGTGAAGCTTCGCTTGCGATTTTCAGATATGTCGGAGGAAGGATTTCTGCGGACGGAGACATTTTCTACTCCGATCGAGATTCCCCTGAAGACCTGTGTCTCGCTCAGGACCCGTTCTTGGGGCTGGCGCAGAGCGTGTCAGCTTCGACTCCCCCGACTTCCCCCGATCAGTTCTCCGACGCCGACGAGTCCACTGCGTCTACGACGGACCAAGAGATTTCTGATCTGAGCTCGAGTCTCGAGAGACTGCGTGTCTCGTGCGGCTTACAGCCGGAGATGAGCTCCAGTGCACAACCTCTGAACATCGTCATCGAGGATTTCTCTGATCACGGAGGTTCAGACGTTGAAATATCTGAAGCCTGCTCGTCGAACGCTGCGAGCAACCTACACCAGCTCTATGTTCAAGAGAGGTGATTAGCATCAGCAGGACGCTCGTAGTATTTCGCTCCAGCCGTTCAGGAGAAATTCAGTTTGACCCGACTAATTGGTCATTCTTTGTTGGAACAGACAAGGCGGATCGAGTTCTCTGTCCGATCACTCGGATAGGTCGTCGGCAAGTGTTCAGACGGTTTACAAGATCGAAACTCCGCCTAAAGATATGTCACCCGAGGCTCTCTTGGATTACGAGACGGAATGCAACATGGAAACCGAGGAGATCAAGCAAGAGAAACTGAGCCTTACATCGAGCTCTAGTGACGACTCTAGCGACGAGAACTTCGGCGAACACTGCTGTGGGAACATGTCGGGACATTCGACGGAAACATATCACCGGTAAGAGAGAGGAATCGGAAAATTTCAAATGCCATCGCGGTGTACCGTCCTGTCTCTATATTGAGCGAGCTATAATTTCCCACAGATACTACCACGTGTTCCGACAAGGGGAGATCGATTCTCTCATCGAGAAATATGTTCACAGCCTCCACATCTTGAAGTCATACTACGATCACAGTAATTGGTGCATCATAGCTGAAAGGGTGCAGGTGTGGACAATATGAAAGTCCTTTCGTTGCGGCCTGGATTATTACCAGAGTGTCCCCGAACTTCTGTCTGGATCCTCGAAGGGGAACGATTCTCCGAGAAGAAGGTCGAAGAGGTGTCATATCGCAGATCAAGGTGTTCTTGGCTATTTCTCGATAGAGCCGTGGCACTCGACGGGGGTAAAGTCCAAGAGCTCGCTCGGATGTCCGATTTCGAAGAAGGCGAAGACAACGATGATGGCCAGGGTGGAGGGTCCTTCGAGACCCACGTCAAGCCTCCAATGGCGCCATCCCTGGGACGTCGTGTCGACTAGAAGTTCTCTCCGTCGAGATCCTTGGATATGCTGATAAGAGGTGAGGGAGCGGAAAATTTCGAGACGCTTGAGTCGTAGCCCCCCGATGGGGGCTCCTGGGTGGAGCCCCGTGCTCGGAGGCGCCAACTACGCAATGAACACGAAAAGTATTCCCGGGACCACATATTACGAATAATAATTAAGGAGGACATCAGGCGATCTTGTTTCTGATAGTTTTCCTCATCCCATCTTCTGGACTACTGAACGCTACGAATTCGTTCCCCGATTGATGAGTGATTTGCCTCTTCATTAAACGTACGACCGATTACATCGTCGCAACCGATGGCCGCGATAATGGGATCGAGAGAAGGAAAAGTAGGGAAACCTTAGTCTTCCTATTTCCGAAAACTGTTGTGGGATTCGTTGTAGCTAAAAATGATAACAGCCTGAGGCGAGGAACTCTGCTCAAAAAAAAAACGTTTCACGACGTAAAGCACTTCCATCTCTGCCCTTGGAAACAGAGCTTTGTAACTTGTATTGTACTTTCTTTTCCACGACGATCATTGTGAACGACAGAGGGAGGGACAGTCCCAATCTTCAGTACCTTTGACATTTTCTAGAACAAGAAAAACTCTCTACGATTTCTGGACCCCTGAAAGCGCTGCAACCATCAGACCACCCATTCCACTCTCTTTCCCCTTGCTTAAGATGCAAATGAGGTCTTTTTCTATTATATGAGGTTCCTAGACTGAGGGTGCACTCCCTACCAGAATACTAGGAGCATATACGTAAGTGTGATGAGATGATGGAATATCGCGTCAGGGATCTGACGAACACCAAACTCGAGTCAGAGATGAAACTTGTTGGAACAAAATCGGCGTGGGCAGGCCGCCGTAATGTACCTTCTTGATGGGAAATTATTCCATTACGAGCAACAGTTCATACACACACACGATAGCTCCTTCTGAACGCTGTATGTTTTTTTATAGATAACGTCAGTTAGCGTTAGTCGATTGAAACTGTCTCGCAAAGAAACAAACAAACTCGCAATGAAACAAATCTATACTCTCAAGTATTCGCAAACACGCAAGTCGGGAGCGGGAAGCGACTTCTCAGAAAGGTGCAAACGACCCGCCTGAGGTCCGACAGACCTCCTCTCGATTCGAATCTTCTGAATGGATTAAATTATCCTATCCCTCGGATGGGAAAGAGCTCCCTCAGCTGAGAGGGGGCGATGTTGCAGATTGGAAATCCGCATCAACCACAGAACAATCGGATGGTACCGAAGGGCGGCTCCGCAAATCCTTCGAAACTGCTATCATGGTGTCGTCTGTGTTCACGGGGGCCGAGTGCGTTGTGCTTTTGAAACCAGGCGCTACACGTTTTTGAGCTCCATACATACATATCGTTTATCGGTAAGGTCAATCGGTTTGCTACCGCATGGCCCTTACTAGAATATACATTTACGTTTGTTACTTCCCGAGCCGATAAGTGCTCTTATGAAGGAACACTGAGAAGGAACCGTGATTCAAACCCTCTCGTCTAGTCGTCGGACGACAGGTTTCGTAGAGAGCCAATTCTGGCGGATCATCTGTTGATTTTGGGGATGGGCACTACATGCATTGCTGTCAGAGCTACGCTCACCGGTCCGATTCGATGGACGAAGAAGCACGAGGGACAGCTCGCGACGACCTGATTATTGATGGTCTCTCGAACCCCTGGCGCATTCAGTTCGCGCGGCCGTAGATACATCTCTGCGATTTCAGCACCCGACAGACAACCTCGATGCGGTGCGCCGCGGCGGCGCGGCGTCGCGACTCCTTGGCGGGTGGGGTCTCCTAAGGAAGCCTCACGAGGCGGCTCGCTGACGGTTTCGGAGCGCACAGCTCTGATGTGTCTGTACGATAGTCATCATCTCCACAAGCGTACCTAAGCTCCCCGACCAACCTGCGGGCAGTCCTGATAGAAAGGAAAGAAAGGTAAAGAAAGGAAAGATGGAAAGGATTGATTGGCACGGTTAAGGACAGCTTCGCCCCCTCAAGCTCTTTCGGTATCCGATGACGGCTCTCGCTGTGGTAATAGAGATTGTTCATTCTTGTTATGTTTGTTATGTTCACTCGTTGAAGTCCTCTGGCGACTCATCCAGGTATGGACACAACAAGCGGGTGGTCGATCGGAATCTGCAGAACCACCGCCGAGTGGGACTGATGTTACGTTTTCGTATTTCATCGGGAACCTCCTTATTGGTGGACGACTACTTCGCCTGGAGCGTTGAGAGAGAGCAGCGGCTCACGCCCGATAAGACAGCGAGAAGAACACAAAATGATTTCTTCGGTTATAGTTAGCCTTTTCCAGAATTGACCTAGAATATTGTTATTGTGTCTCTTCTACTCGAACAGAACCATGGATAGTAGGGGCTACAAAACAGATGTTGATAAAAACAAGGACGATGAATATCGATATTAATAACGATAAGTGTAATACTATTACTGATTAATACGAGGATACACCCACCATTCTGGAAATGGGAGCGGTGCGGGACAGTATAATGATCGCTCATCTACGAGACCATAAGGAAGAAAGGAACCAATAAACCAGACGCGGAAACTTGTTAAGTGATCGTTTTCAATTCTTAGCTGGTATCCTCTACCGCGAAAGTCTTAAAGTAAGCTACTAGGGGTACTAAACCTCACGCGTAATCATGAGGAATCACTTTGGAGTCCCAAAACTGTGGGACGTCGGCTCATAATGAAGAGGAGCATAGGGAGGCTCGCTGGATTGACTTTCCCCGAGACTGAAAACTGAGGCTAAGGAAGTGACGCTGTGGATCGTGAGGAGGAAGGAATGGGGAATACGGGGTGTCGAGACATAAGGATCACGACTCACTTCTCAACTCAGGACGGAAAACTCATGGTGCTAGAATGCTTGGAAAATGGGTTCTTCTGATTTCGGCCTACTTACATACTATATTCCGATCTGGAATATTGATTTCGCGTCTCGTTTCATTTTCGTCATCCACTCAGGGTATAGAATCGTAGGGTAGAGGCCCGATCGCTGATCGCATCATTTCAAGTTACTAATGGAGTCTCTCGGGAAATGAACGGAGTGAAGTTAGCCGCCATCCCTGAAGGATTCCCGTCAGAAACGGAACGTCGCTCGAGCGGGAGTGGACTGTGCTTGGTGGGTTATGCGTTTTCCCGACTCGTGTGGCACTCGCTTGCTAGTGCTGCACATTGCTTGACGAGGTGTGTCTATTTGACCTCGGAAATCGTCGGAGCACACTCTGGACGTCCATATCACAGAATTCGATAGGGGAGCTCGAAGCGCTCGATATTGTAACTAGAAGAGCACCGAAATCGCTCTGCAAGCCGGGATGTCGCCAAAGCTCGCAGATGATTCCATGGAGACGGAGCTGGGATTCCCCATGATTCCAGAGTTCGAATGGATGAGCGACGTCCGATCACCCTCTCATGGCCGTAGACTCGTTCATGTAGAAAAATCGAGTTGGACAGCTTTCGATACAGAAGTGAGAACTAATGCGATCGTTGGTCATTTATTCACAGTCTTGTCCGTCTAGACCTAACAGCTCGGTCAGGATCAGATACTATTACAGTCGATACTCAAAACTTCTCTCGATAATTCGGAGTAAGGCTCATGACTCATGAACGAGAAAAATTCCTCGGTACTCAGTATCGTCTCCGTCTGACAAAGTTACGGTCCATGCGAGGACCAATCAGTGCTCGAGCTCTTTGAGATTCCACTGATTCGGGCACGCGACGACCCGCGAGAAATTCGAGGCAGATCTCGAAAAAGGTCTCAGCTGGGGGAAATTGAGTCGAGCTCACGAAATCCAAATTCTGGGAACAGGGAGGAATCACCTAATCTCTAGCAGTCGGTCGAAGTGCTCTTCCCCCTCGGTAATACATACAGGGAATACTCAGTGTACATACAAAGCATGATGATTTGACAAGGATTACATTCGGCGCGAGCCCTACAAATCGACTAACTAGCTCTTCAGAATGTCCACGAACGGATTCTTGCCCTTACGGTCCGTTGAATTCTTATCTGTAACTTCAATTAGAGCTGCTGTGAGGGAGAAAATAAGAATATTCTCATCAGAGCATCCGCGGGAAAGAATCATTAATGTCCAGGAAGCTACCTTGAAGAGTGGTCTGACCCGAACACTGCAGCCACTCGTCCCTCAGCACGACTTTGTCCTCATTTTCATCGCAGAACTTGATCATGTTCCGCCAGCACTTCCGTTGTTGACGTTTGATGTTCGAGTTGAGCGCAGCGGCGTTTTTCCACTCCCGCCTGAAGATCTTCCACTCGTCGCGTTCGAGACGCCCGTTCTTATTCAAGTCCAACGATGTGAATTTCCACAATAATGTCTCATTACGGACCGAGGAGATGTTCGTGCGTCTGAAAAAACGTTGGCGCGAACCGTCATGGTCCGGTCCCCGATCAGAAAAACTAATAAGTTGTCAGAAGCGAGCTCAGAACCAAACTCACTGCCTGGCCTGTTCGAAAGCTATTCCGGGATATTTCTGGGCGTAAAAGAGGGAGATCAAGTTCTGGGAGAATTGCTTCTTTTTTTCACGGGACATCCTCTCGAGGTTTTGGCCTTGAGTTTCGCGCTGCTGCAATCCGACACCATGGTTTTGTTGTGGGTTGTACCTGGGAAAGGGGCATCATCAGAAACCTCATCGGATGCTTGAGAAAATGAGGATAGATCGGATCGAGAGGAATAGACGTCGAGCGGCACCGAACCTTGGATTGGTTTCCCCGTTTTCGGGGCGACACACCAACAAACTTCTAGATGGCACTGCTGCTCTTTATAGGTATTTTCAGCTGTGCACGCTGGAACGTAGGTGTTCCCCGATTTGAGCCTCTCCGTTGCAATCTGACGAGCGGTGTTGCAATCTTCCGTTTCACCTGGAACTCCAACGTTGAAATTGTTTCTGAAGTGCGATACCTACGGACGAAGATGGAAACGGGGAGGTATAGAAGTACTCACGGGTGGTTTCCTCCGTAGTTTCAGACTCTAGGAGTTCTTCGCTTTCGTCGGTGAAACTCGGAATAGTCGCGACCTCGTCCGTGTTGGACGCATGCTCCTCTGCAATGGAATTTCGTCAATCGGGGCTCGAAAAACTGGTCTCAGTATCAAACAGTCGGGCATAAAATAAATGATTCAATCGAACCTCTATTGCCCGCTGTCTTCTGAATCTTTAGCCCTGATACACTGTGACGCTCACTTTCAGACGCTTCGTCGACTCCTAGAGAGTAATTCCACTCTTTGAATGAGATGTGTTCATCGCCGTCTGAGTCGGTCAGTCTGAGAAAAATCCTAGCGCACGATTTCGGCGTGATAATTCGTTTCAGCAATCGTTTGAAATCTCGGTACTCCATGGGATCCAAGTATAGATCTTGGTTCCGGTCCAGCTGCCTGAATTTTCGCTCTGCCGCTTTGGACAGCGTGGCTTCCGCTACCGAGCTAGAAAAGGTCAGTTCTTTCAGGATAGCGTTGGCGAGATTCGTGGTGAACGTTGCCCGCTCACCTGGGGTGCAGGCTGTAAGAAAAGCGGAGCGAGTTACTCGATAGATTCCAACGCATAGTCGTGTTTTCCTCTCGTTTCCTTGAACGATCACATGGCCTTGATAATAGGCACGTCTCCGAGAGCTCTGTTCGATGCGGCGACCATAGGATTTCGAAACCTAACATCCGCAATCATAAGGGATGGAGTCGGTCGGATCCACAGGGCCGAAGAGTGAGCCGAATATTTCACTTTCAAGCGCCGTGCGGAACCACGCGTTCCCTTCGCGGACAGCATATATACGGAGATCTTATTCTCGGCTATGCGCTGGCTGTCGCTGACTCTTCTCTCCTGACATTCTCACCGAATCTTTTGCAATTTGGCTGCCGGTTGTACACCGTAGATCCCGCCAAAATCTTTCCCTCTGTGTCGACACACCAACAGTGATTGGTCTCATTGTGGCATTGTATGGGCTTGAAGCTACCGTCTGGGTTGCAGTCGGGAATGAAAAGATCGTTTTGGGTCCTCGCTTGGGCCTGCTGCGCCAGACAACGTTTACCTGGAAGGTTTTCGGATTGAATACGCAGAGCGAAGAATTCGCCGGTCGGTAGAGGCGCTTTCGCAACTCTGGGTATCACGTACCGGAACATTTCCCCGCGTGAGCCTCTCGGACTCGGTAGCCTAGACACTGCGCTTGGGTGAGCTCGCACTGAGTGTACGATCGTCCATCGGTGGCGCAAATGGTGCTTTGGCTCTCTGACGGCTCTGTGCACTGTCCACAATTGTGTTGTCCACCGTCGGGGTTCAGCAACGGAATCTGGGGCAGAATATTGGTCATGAGGAGCGGCTCGGAAGAAATACGCTACCTGGCGTGCTGAGCTTCCTCAGCTGCGGCGCATGGGACAGCTCGTTCGGATCGTCGATTCGTGGAGCTTCCGCCGTTGAGAGATTCGCAGCATTTGAAGTGGGCAACTGACACAGCGCTAATCAACGTACGTGCGCATCGCGAAGTCATGGGCTGTTGACTTCGTCGCTAAATCGTTCGGGCGATGTTGCCGTCTTCGACGAGGCTAATTACGCAATAAACTAATGGCCCTCATTTCGCGGTGTTCGTACGCTCGAAAAGAACGAATTAGGAGCGCTTTGCGCTCGAAACGTAAAAGTACGACTACCTGCTGACATAGTCTGGAAACACATCAAGATCACTCGAGCACGGGATAGATGATCACTCGAGTTTCAAGTCAATCGGAGAACACTATTCCCCTTCCCGATTCTAGAGCCAGGTAGCATTGCTTAGCGACCTCTCAGGGAGTTCGTTCCACATCGAACATTTCTCCTCTCACCCGCATCGTGGGATTCTCTGAGACCTTAATATTGTGGATCGACTCTCCTTTCGTAATCAGGGTGTCACGACGGGAATCGCTGCCGTAGTAGCTTTGGAACGATGTTTAGGGAACTTAGCTCGGCCTGAATGAGCTCATGCCGCCCTGAATGGATTTCGTGAGCCTTGCGTACTCTAGGCATTGTTGTGCTGGGTAGGGTTTTGGAGTAGTCTCATTTCATTCTGAGCGTAATTTGATACCCATGCATTAATCGGCAACATACTTATCATTTTTACGGATTACGAACGTTTTGAATAACCTCAAAAACACACCGCTCTGTTCTCTTCGCTACCATCAGCTGACAGACTGCGTGCCAATGAGAGCGCGGATGTCACTGAGCGCTTCCCGCTGGCTCTGCCGCCTGATTCGTAACCTCGGAATGGTGATGGTTGCGAAAGACGCCCCGACGACCCGCCGCAAATTCGGGAGAGATCTTGAAATGGGTTCTATCCTTCTTCAGAGCAGAAAAAAATATGGACTCCGTTGATCCGACCAGAATGTGTATATATGGGTCACTTCGACCGAACTCACCTGCGCGTCTGAGAAAGGTGTAAGAAGCAAGAGCATCGGGATTGCCCTCCACATGGTGTTCTCCGAGTGGAAGGCGAAGACTCAAGAAGAGCAGGCGGGCCGGTAGATGAACAGTCAACAGGTGATCGTGAAATAACAGAGTGACACTCTGGGCGTTCGCTCTGCTAAACGGAGACTAAGGCAAGGAAGCGACACTCCGAGGCGCACTCATATTGTGTACGGTGCTCATGTGAAAATCAGAGTCGAGCGCCACTATGTTTGTTGAGCCTCTCTCTGAGACAAAGCGTTGACCGCGAGCCCCTAGAACATGGGAAGGGTCGATTCATGAAGAAGAGAGCGTTGAAAAGGCGCCGTCTGGCGGCACAACCTGAACCTTTCATGCGAAGGCCTTGGAACACCCAAGGCCTTGGAAGATGGAAGAGAACAGGCAGACAGCAACAAGCTTCTTTCTCACAATTCACTTTCTTCCCTTCGTTTCGTAGAGGGTGACGGGCTAGCGGTGGATTTCCGTCCGAGCCGAGTCGTTTCCCTCGAGGCATCAGAGTAGACTGCCGCGGCTGCCCTCCTGGAGTTAGGAGCCCATATTCAAGCGCGTCATGAACTCGCGTTCGAATATTTAACCGCCTCGAGAAATTAAATACGGATCGACATTTAATTCCGGACACGGTGAAATAATCCATTTCTTTATTTTACTTCGAAGTGAATATTTACAGGGTCATTCTCTCAGTCATCGGTCGAGCTGCGAGGGTATTTTGCGCTCTCATCCTGCTCCGAGAGAATTTCCCTCATATATACAGCAGACTTCGCCCATCGAATAGCTTCTAGAATCGACAGCGGGTGTCTAGAGCGTACTGATTTTTCGGTAGCTGCTACTGATCACAGTTTGATTGAGTGGTGTCTGATCGGCGACAGGTCGTTTGGGGACGTGACGTGGAATCCATGGTTGACGTGAGCTCCGGACTTATCTTGATTCAGTTTAGGACTCTGTAGGTTCTCTGATGGGGAGCGAGATTACCTCAGAACGTTGGCTTTCCGAATAGGAGCGCATTTGAAATTAGTGGACATTCAGATAACTTACTCTTGTTGAGGGCGCTCTCGATATCAATCGGCTTCCCTTCGAATCGAGGGTCCCGCTGCAGAATCAATTTCTCGAGTCGGCCTATGGGGGCTTCGACTAGCAAGAATATGAGTGATGCGAGTAGGAAAGCCCAAGTGGCCACACCGAAAGAGCGAGTGATCTGGAAAAAAATTTCATTCGTCATTCGAAGAATGAATCCGATGGCAGTAGCACTTGAGTCGGATCTCTCAAGGTGCATAAGGGTCCATGTTCTGTTCTTTTCTCTAGGCGCCTCCGCCATCCTTACATACCATGTTGAAATTTGAAAAGTATATCCTTTCCCGAGCGATGGCGGCCTCAATGAAGTACATCGGCAAGTGAACCATGAAGACTCCGAAGCACAATCTACTCAGGGGCACGAACCCATTCCAGGATAAGAATTTCGTGATGAATCCTCCTCGTTTCGTCGCGCACGCGAACGTCAACCAGCTCAGGAATACGGCCCATAGGGGCCTCTGTGTCATGGCGAAGATGACCTGTGGGGTCGACCGTGGTGAGTTCGCAAAATTCGTCGCGCTACTGCCTTCGTGGGTCTTGGGCGAGAAATTTTCAGCGGACATACTTTCCACGTCTCGCCAGGGTAGTCACCCCGATTCCAAGGGTAGGTTCCGAAGACCGCATACAGCATGCAAAGAAGGCTACCAATCCAATACATTGTGAGTTTCGTCTTCGAGAGTTCCGTCTGAAAGCGAGCGAGTTCGGAGTGAGAAGGACTGCCCTGGAGTATTACTCATCGAATCTCGGCCGCGTTACGGGGGCCGTATGTTCCCTTATGGTCTCACCTTCTTGTAGTCTCGTATCATTATCATGGTGGAAGCACCGAGGAAATAGCACGGAGCGTGAGTGGTGGTGAAATGATAGAAGGAGCCTAAGGTTTGAGAGATGACTTCCCAATTCTCAGCCATTGGTAGAACGAATGGTGTGATGATCGTTCCGCGTATGTAAACGCCCGTGAAAATGATAGTCGCCATAGAGAAGAGCCCCATAGATGCTTGGAACATCTTTGACTCCCTGCAAGGTACGGATCCCTCGGTTTGGAAAAGAATGGTCTCCCAAGACTTGAGCTGATTGAATCATCGTCAGAAGAGCCGCGAAAATTCCCTTGATACCGATTCGTCAGAGCGAGGCAGATCACTACGACGACGAAAAGTTGGAAGTCCGCGGACAAGTACCACAGCGGACCCATGCTCGGCGGTCCGTAATCCTGGAAATAGTTTTGTCTTTAGTCCTAAATCCTCTTCAGCATAGACTGATCCACGTCGACCTAAACGCGTAGTATGCATGCTGGAGGCTGCCTGAATCCTGCGCCAGAGGAAGCAGAATCTCAGTTCGCTGCACGGGAGGGCGGGGGGCTGATGACTCACGATTAGGTTGCCATACGATTGGAGGTTTCTGAATTGCAGAAGGACGGACAACCACTCGCGAGCAAATTGCCTCTTGTACGCCGCATAGAAGTCGGGGATACCAGGACCGTCGAAGATCAGCGGGACGAGGAAGAGCAAAACCATGACGAACAAGGCTGGCAGGGTTCCTCTGACGAAACGTCTTACGATCGCAACGACACTCGTAGTCACTTTCGATTGTTTCGCTTTGATCACGTTGTAAGTGACGAGGAAGGCCCTGCAGCAGGAGCAAAGTGTGAAGATTGTCGAGTTTTTCGCGATGGATCCATTTTTGACTGAACCAAATCCGGGATTGTTTGAGCTAACCCTATGAAAAGGAACGTATCCACGCAGAGATATCCGGCCATCACTATGCAGAACAACGGATTGTCCCCATAATGCAGAGCGTTCACCAGTCGAGCTGAAAAGTCACGAATATTACGGCCATCCGCTCTCTATGTCGCAATGTCTAATGGATGATACGATGACTCTTCACTTGGATCTATCGCAGTCTGATCGATACAAATATTCCGCCGGCTCTGAGTGTGTTGACTCGATCAATCTAGATGCGACTCACAGATGATCGTGAAGTCGAAGACGGAGTAGGAGTGACCGACGACGACTCCGCACATCGACCAGAATTTCATCCCGTGAATGAAACGATACGTATATGCATCGCTATTGACGTCTTCGTTTACCTATTCAAGACAAGTAAATGACATTCCTTAATCGCTGTATTTCGTGTATAGAGATTTTGATAAGAAATGCTAGAAACGGTGGACCTCTTACGTGCATGAGTAGGGCACCGTTCGCTCGGAACGAGAAACACTTGAGGACGCGGATAACCGTTGAAGAGTTCGATGTTTCGCTCTTGCACCGAGTAACGCTGAGATAGTCGACGAATGATCCAACGACGACGAGAGCCACGAGGACGGCCAATAAGATTCTGCAAAAGGATAATATTTGAAACTGGAGAGTCCAAGGACGATCCGAACTTCATGTGGATTTTCGTGACTCGCGAGGAGCAACGCAGGACGAAATTCGGGAGGAAAAGTGCTAGAATAGTGATACCCGAGAGTATGTGATCACCACGAAAAGGTCCGCGGCGGCTAATGAACGCGCCATTGATAGAATTATATTCAATGGCTTCTAAGACAAGATCGCCGAACACCTCGATGACCCGATAGGGGAAATTGTTGCCATGACACTGACACGGTGTATCGTGGTTTGGCTAATTATAAGTTGTTCTTGGAAGCACCCGATTCCCCAAACTATCGATCAAGAGCTACGGATCGGACATCTGAGACGAGTTTCCAACTCCATCGCCGAATTTCCACTCTCCCAAACTCAACGGACATTTTCGCTCTACCCTTCCACGGATTGGAATACGAAATTCTCGACGAAAGAATCGGGGATGATGGAATCGGCTGTCAAAGAAAGAGTGATCCCAGGTGGATCAGAATCTCTCAAATCCTATCCAGGCTTCCGCTCGGCTCTTTGCCAATAGATTGGCCGGTCGAGCACATGACGGGAGAGGATCTGCTATCGAGTTCGAAATCTTAATTTTTCTGCTGGCACTCACAGAACGAGCAGTTGCCGCGTCTCCATGGGCTGCGGAAGGTTTGTTATGCAGGATCCAATTGTGATCTCCGCCACCAGACTTTGCCCTATCTTGTTCGCCAGCTTTTGGAGATCCTCCCTGTCGCATTGCGTCGATATGCAGAATCCTATGCGCATGCCAGGCACCTCTTTCGATTCTTGAAATGTGATGAAATTCGGTGTCTGCAAGACACGCAAGGTCATTGACAAACTTCATCACGGATGGAGCCATTAAAAAATCTTCAGTCCCGTCTCGGGCTCTACTCTGGATATCGACTAACTCACCCGTCTGTGAGAGAGGGCCGTGATGTTGCTGATATGGTTGGCATAATCTCCATTCGGACTCTTGGCGTACGCATTGCAGTACTGGCCGCGCAGAGTTTCTTCACCTTCGTCCGATGTCAGGACCGTTTCGACACAGGCATCGAAAGCACCCAGGTCGGCGAGTGTTCCCTGGTACAGACCGACAGGAAATTTGCCGGAGGCATCCATAACTGAGGAAAAATAAAGAAACCGCTACGTAGGAGCTCGAAACTCACCGTTCGGTAACTTGAGAAGCATGGTGCCAAGTATAATGAGCGCCCAACATTGTATTCGGTCGCGGGGGCAAACGTCTGGCACACTGTCAAAAATCAACGCCGAACCAAGTCTATCGTCCAGACGGTGGGATAAATCGCCTCGTAAAGACCCAGTTTCGAGAGTTTGCCCACGACCGCGCACCAACGGATTCTGTGCAAAAGACTAAATTACATTAATTTCGAGACGATTCTCGTCCGACTAACGTACAATTTGAGCTTTGTGTCGACAGAAAGTCTCATAACTAACGATCGCGGCATCTGATACCGCTCGCTGGAGAACACCTACGTCGGATTCTCTGAAGATATTCACTCTTCATATACTTCTCCGCCCACTAGTTTCTGCAGCATGAGCAATCTTCAACTCAAGGTCGGGCTCATATCTAGCCCAAAGTCTTCCCGAGTGCCTTGAGCGATTGCGAAAGACTTAGGCACCGAGGAAGTCCGGGAAACGGATCACGATTTCCATAATGAACTGGAAAACATCATCAGCATCGACAATAGGCCCTGAACGCCCGCGACGTCTCTTCGCAGAGTTCTCGTGCATTCTGATGTTTGCTGGAAGGCTTACCCCGAGATTTTAATTTCTGCGGAGAGGAATGCCTGTTCAGACAGGAAGACTATCACTTTGTATCATGGACTGTAGAACGAATCAGAAAACCATTAAGCGACCAAAATATGCGCTCGAAACTTCTCCGCAGAGAGATGTGAGCTTCACTACAATATCTTCGCGGAGATGCCACGTGTGCAATAATGATCCCACGAGCAGTCTGGTCAAGAATTTCTTGTAGGCAGAGGCTTCCTTGCCTGTGATTCTAGGAGTGCGAGTCTCTCTACAGGAAAGGGGTGAATTTCGAGCGTGGAATCCATAAGGCTTTTTCTGTTTCGTCCATAGATCCCTCACGAGGTTTTATTCGAGTGAGACCCGAGACGTAATCGCGCGAAATTCGCCACGACTGTCTGCCATGCCTGGAATCTCTTCTCATCGCCACCAGCTCTCGGTTTGCATGTAGCATGTTTGGATTCTCAATCATGTATCCAATCACGGAGATATCCCATCAGAGCTTTGATCTAATCACGAGATCCAATTAAATTAAAAAGCCCGGATACAGAAAACTTGGCTCATAAGAGATATCCCCATCTTGTGATATTCCGAAGTGACTAATGAGAGCATTTCCCTCCGTGATTTGTGGGAGGGATCGGAAAATGACTGAATTAAAAGAATGACGGCGTCAATTTTCTCCAAGTTACGGACCCTGCAATCGCTCTCCGTGCTTCCCTGAGAGTGGGAGAGGTTCCAATTCTGGAGCACCATGAGTCGTTCTCATCGGTTCACAATCTCGAACCGACTATTCTTGCCGCAGGACGAAAGATTTCGCGAGTGACGGAGCCGAGAGCGATAGCGGTCCGTGTATCGATAAAGCGGTTCCGCAGCGGTCGCATACTAATTCACGGGTGACATGAAATCGGTACGCAGAGCTCCTTGATTGACGAATTCCTTCACGGCACTCGAGCTTGGCAGAAGACTCCTAGTTGCGACTCGAAAAAAAGTCTGAGATAAAGTTTGCCTTGATCTTCTTGAAATTCTCCTCCGGTACGGGCGCTTTCAGAAATGCCCATGAACGATCCCAAGGGCAGATGAGGCAGCGGAAGATGGGGGGAAACGCATCAGAGCCCTGGAATGGATTCTCATCTGGGGATGCGCGATGTGGTTCGCTTGTTTCCGAATAATTCCGAGCAACTATTCGGATCCCCGGGACATTCGTTCACGTCAACAATCAGTCACAGTGTCCTGATCTAACGCTTTCGTCGGCGATCTCCTCGAGCTCCGTGTATGTAACGCCCTGGAGAACTTCAAGATTATATGCATAAATACTGCATTCCATGCTTCTCCGTCTCGGGAGAAAGAGCTGGGGCTCGTTCAATCGACCTCCGTTACCTGTCACGTGGGTTATTGCCCCGGAATTATTCCAGATTCCGCTCCCTTCATCTGTATATTCGAAAATCGGTGCAGAACGGAAAGCTGCCGCCGGCGTTAGGGGTGTGCAATCCTCCGACCAATGAACCTTGTGTCCGGAGTTGACCGCCATCTCGCTAACGAGCACATGCCGGCCGGATCGCGCGCTTGCGACGCGACGCACAGCCATCGTATCTGTCAATGCTCTTCAGTGAGTTTTGATTGAGGAGCCGGATACATCAGGGAAGCATGTAGCGTCTCCCGCAGTCCGAGCGGAACGCAGGGTGAGGCGAAATCAATTCAAAAGCATCGGCGGAGAAGCATAGTCGCAGCCTATGATTCCGAAACCATCTCGGAAACGTATCGAGGATGTTATCGCTGCGAGGGCTTCGAGCTCGACCCTCAAGGGTCGGAGAATGGTCAGACGTCTCGATCGAAAGTGCTCTCGCTGATCGACGGAACCGAGCAACGAACGCTCTGATTCTAACATTTTGGTTTGATATGGAATAGAAGTTCTAAATCTAAATGCTGAGTTCAGTTTCACCTTGAACCGCCGCGTCGACTCGACTATGAACTGTAATCATATCTTCTGACTGTATCGGCTTTCGCTCGAAGCTCTGCGCGGATGGCAACTTACGTCGACTAGTCCATGGCTCAAGATTTTCTGCGGCCTGGGCGAACTTGAGCAGGAATACTTGACACTCAGTACTGACATCGGCTTCGATAACAGTTCGAAGAATCTCTTTCCGCATTGATGCGAAAGCTGCTTGGAAAAATTCACGGGTGAACTCCAACTGACTCCTGTATTGTTCACTTGAATTGTTTTCCGCACCGACCAGCGAACCCTGGAGCGTGATCAATACCACAAGGGGCATCGCGGCCCCCACGGAGGCAACGAACATGATGAGGTTGGGTCCACACAGGCTCGGAATCGTTACACCGCGACTGAACTGCCGAGGGACCGAGCGAAGTCTTCTGGACGCCAAGAGATGCCCTCCCTCTCCACACCACTGATAGCGAGCGAATCATCGTCTCGATTGCTTCAAATTCGAGCAACAGTGATCGCGTACAGAAGAGCATCAGAGATACCTAATAAGCAATTAGCGAAATTGTAACTATCTGAACGACCTTGTCGCCATTGAACTGGGCCGCGGCGCCAACCCAGCTCTGACGACACTGGGGGATAGAGAGTCAATGTAAGGCTGGTGAGCTTACAAACACGATTGTGGAGTAGAGAGTTCCGCTGCAGCGATCCACCCGATGAGCTCCCGAAAACCCCTTCAAATTCTCTCATGGGAGCCGAGAAACGAGCGGATCAGTCGAGAGTACTAATAACAACATCCTGATATACAATATCAGTACTTGCCATGAACGGCTACGATGGGAGAAATCTCCAGTGGTGCCCGAGGCCCTTGTCGAGAATTTCTCTCTTTGATGAGGCCGGAAAACCGCCGCAGAGTTAGTCCAGAGGACTGCATCCTGGTACTCTCGCTACTGTTTCTGAATCATTTGAGTCGTGCCACTGCGGAAACTCTATACCGCAGTTCAGAAACACCCGACGAATCATTGGTATTCGATGTTCCATATCGGTGAAGGAATTCGCGAACGATGCCCAGACTTGAGACTGGAGCGCGAAAATGCGTAGTAGACGAGGATTATTCGAAAACCAGAATGTAGTCGAAGATTTCGCGAGTTTGAGATGGATCCACTCGCCGCTCACATGTCGTGAGTCGTGAGGGATTCACATCCCTCGTAAACGCTTCCCGATTCAGGACGGTACCAGGGCCGTTCCATTCCTTTTTTTCGAAAACAAGATGTCTTGTGTTGCATCATCGAGCGACTACAGAAACTAGATTATATCTAGGAGCAACAATTACGTTTTGTACGTCACGCAAGGAGTCGCCCCTCGAAAACAAGAGACGAGTTTCTATCCGAAATCGTCTATAGTTCATAATTCGTTATCCTAGCCAAATTTTCCGGAACGCCATAGATTATCCCTTTGTCGGCGGAAAATTCCGACTGGAAAGCGTGAGAAAAACTATCGAACTCGAGAAAGGTGGCAAATTCCCGAATATGTAGCTTTCTTCTCTACAAGGGAGGCCGTGACCTTTTCCCCGTCATTAACAATTTTCTCGGTCTGGTTGGCTCACAGCGTGCGGTATTCGAAATGGTTTTATCGAGCTGTCAGTCAAACTGACTGCTCCCGCAGTGTAGTATTCCAGAAGCGTCTGACGTCCTACTCGGAAGAGTGACTTCAGGGGACTCTTCCGAGAAGGATTGCTAGGTCGGCTCGCGTGTCACGTACATATCGTGGAGGGGCGGATATTTTCATCTTTCTCGGCTTTGGTGGACTTAGCGGTGCTCAATATCTTGCGGCTGCATCCGGTGTTTGCGGAATAATAGCTCGAACGAAAGCTGTCTTGACTATGGAATGAAGAAGGGTTGAGGGAGTCGCCTCCGCTCAGTCAGGCCGCGGATCGTTCCTGTGACTCGAATCCACAATTATTGATGACTCGCTGCACCAGTGAATGCCTGAGAGCCTCCCTCGCGATGGTGGTCGGCAGCTCCGAACGTCGGGATTTCGGTGTTTTCAGTAATGGCAGTCTCGATTCAGAGCTCGGTTTCGCATTCTCGGAAGAATCACGAATTAACAGAGCATAGGAGGGATTATGAATTCTTTAGATTCAAGTATTCCGAGGAGAAAAAATGGCAGCATCTGGTGGCGCCCGTTGTCTGTTGACCTCCCGCTCTCGACTATCTTCCTCTCCCTCCGAGAGAAGGGAAACCTCCCTGCCGGCCGTGGCGGATGAGGATCAGCGTGCTCGAAAGCGCTGTTTCTAGGGGAGCCTACTTTGGGGAGCAGAGGAGAGATCGGGGGAGATGAGGTGCATCAAAATGTGAATTGAGATCTGTGTTGCAGCAGGTGGTGCCGCCTGCCCCATTGATGGCGGCCTTTGGCAAGCGTCGGAGCTCAAAGCAAGCTGTTGCACTCTTTTTGTTACCATTCCCTTCTTCGTCTTCGTCGTCGTCGTCTTCTCGTTCTCCGTCGTCGACTCCCTCGCGGCTCGATGTCCTTTCTTCAATGCTCGCGACTGACTGACTGACTGACTGGCTGGCTGGCTAGTCGGCCTGCTTTCTCTCTCATCCTCTTCCGCCAGGCTCCGTGTAGCGAGCGAAACGACGAGCCCGGAGTCGTCCAGCACCGATCGTGCCGCAATCGAGAAACAGCCTAGCCGGCCGATAGTACGCTCAGCCGTGTGACCGAAGTGCATTGGCATTTAATTCGTGCGTCGACCCATGTGGCTTTCATAAGCCCTAGTACTAGCGCACCTTGATTCAATCACCGACTGACGGTAGACGAAACGGTCTCGGTAGGATCCGCCAATGAATCCGAAAAGACATTACGCTCCGTGCATCTTCGATGCTCCTTCCCCCCCAGGTGCTCCCCTTTCGCCCGAGATATCCTGAAAAAAAACCCAAGCGACCGAGACCCCAATGCAGGATTCGAGAAAGTGCCGGCGACGTTCTAATTTGACTGGCCTGAGCCGATGAACAACGAAAATTCTGGGGCGTCGTGTCGCGACGCTGCGTCGCTGTCTATGGCGATTTCGTAAGAGCGAACTTCACTGAAAAAAATAAAACACAGAATTCGAAGGCATCCAGTTCAACAACAACACTAGACTGACTGCGCTCGTCGTTGTTATTGAGGCAGTCTCAGCAGCGGCGCATATTCATTACGAAACCGAGACGAGATTACACAAGTGAAAGAGAAATTCAGGATCACTCGAATTAAATGAAAACAAGCCGCCAGATCAATGTGATCAACTCGAACGAATACCGAAAGCAAGCAAATTGTCGCTACGAATAAGTATTATCGTCGATTACGTCGATGAAAGCCTCCGCATATTGACATGTCGTCGTCGACGGTATCGACGACGAGCCATTATGCGAATAATGTCATTCTGATAGCCACAGAAAACCTATCAGATGGAACGCTGTAATTCTGCCAACAGAAGGGTGGTCCAACATCGCGGAACACGATGAGATCTCGGTCGTTACCGTTCCGAGGATGAAAATGTCGAGGTTCGTATTATTTGGAGGTCGCGTTGCTGAGTCGACGTCCTGGGGAGAGACCTCGACCGGGGAGAGGACAGCCGAGGAATGTTTTGTCAACAGGCTTGAGAGATGGGCGTTGGCATTTCAGGGAAACGATCTTCAGAAATTATTGTGGCCTTTTTGTCAAAGACAAAAGTGGATTTATTCACGATATACAACATCTAAGTTTTCCCTCATGCATTACGGACCCCGCTCATTCTCCATGCAGATTCATCATTCGAGTTGGATTGCTTTCTTGAAAAACTCTTGCACGAGTCCCCGCCAACGGTTTCGGTGACTATCTTTTCTCGCGGAGCTGTTCGATCGCGACTCTCTTTGTGGTCAGAGATCTCTTCGTAAAAAAAGCTTCGCCGCATCGTCGTGTCTCTCTGGGTCCTAGTTATTATCGTTATCACCATGAGTACCGTGTCTCCTGAAAGACTTCGGAGATTCCTCCGTTCCGGATGAGGGTCCCAAATCATTCGATCGTGCGTCCAGGTCGCACGCATTTTATATATTCAAATTTCCTACGTCTTTTGATAGATCAAAATAAATATGATGTCGAGCACTGACGACGGTCCACGACGCGACGTAGCGAGTCCACCGCTGTTTCACCAACCACCATCACTTCTCCGACGCATTCCGCTGGCTTATTCCTGCGCTTGAAATAAGTCGCTTCATTATGACGTTTCGATATGCAATATAATGTCCTCCATGCGGTGCCGCGATATTTCTCTCGCGCTTTTCACTTATCGACAATAGCAAGATCATGGAGTACAGTAGAGCTAGTACACGACATTGAAGTCACCGAAGTCATCTCGACGATGGTATAGACAGTTTATGTACAACGTATTTCAGGAGTTATTTATGCTTCTAGGAGCTTTCACGGGAACGTCGACGACAATCTCGCCATGTTGTTGGACGGCGACGGAAATTGAATCGGATTCACAACGAAAGGCTCTAGTGGTCGTTGGTTCCTCGCGGGAGCGGACGTACGCAGACGAATCCCCCCAGAAATAATGAGATTGTGCAGAACCATTACATGTCGGTGTACTATACATTAGGTCTGGAATCAGAAATCGAACGAAAACAGCGGGAGCAGAATCAGAGCAATCATCCGGGAGCGAATCGGAGGCGAGGAAGAAAAAGTGAAAGAAAACGAAATTAATGGCTAGATGATAATGAACGGGACGGAGAGAGGCCGAGCGTTGGCGAGAGTGAGCCGAGGAGCCGGCAGGAAAAAAACGAAGCGACTAAACAATTAATGAATCTCCTGACGAGATCACGTCTGAAATTGTTCATACTTCAGTCGCGCTTCGCTCCTGTGGTGGCCATGGAAAAAATCAGCGCCATTTTCCGCTTCCTCGACGCTTTTTCCCGCTCTCGAGCAGAGTTGGCCCTCCGCACTATTTACATAATCGTTTATTGAGCGACTGACGCTCCGAGACGATGGCTCCGAGACGGAGAATTTGTTGTTGGCGCCCAGACCCCGATCCGCTCACTGGGCTGAAGCGCCCCCGCTTAGCACGTTCGCTCCGACTATCGTCTGTTTTCCCGCGGAACTTCCTCAGCTAGACGATATCTTGAGTGAGTGATATGTTCCAAGATCGAATCGAATCATACAGCACGACCTCGTCTACGCCCTCGACGCAGACGAGGCCGGCTCGAGAGAGAGATCGCTCCGCTGACTCCAGGGCAGAATCAGTCGGGAAGCGAGCAGAGTTTCCTCAGACGTTCTGTGCTTTGAGGTGATCTTCCGTATTGGCCGAGGAGTTGAAGTACGAGCTTTGCATCGAATACAGTCGGTCGATCGGGTTCAGCGGAGTCTGAATTCCAGTGAATGAGCGTGCTAACAGAGCGGAGGCCTCATCATCGCCTGGTGTACATCTGCAAACGGAGGAAGCCTACATGTGAATCAGATGGGTGTGCCATCGCCCAGAACTCGGAATTTCGCCATTCCGCGAAAATTCGTGGAAATTCGCGCTTTTGAGAGCGATGCCGGGATTCCCAAAAACCTCCGACTGGTACCGGCATCCTCGACGTAATTTCGGAAGCGTCTCCCGATCGGAGACGAGAATCGACGAGCTGCGTGGCGAACGCTTGGTTAATAAGGTCGGAATTGCGCCTCGGTCTTACCCCTGTCTGTTGCCTCGCTGCGAGGAAGCGATGAGAACGTCCTCCAGACCCCCGAGACTGGACTCGGAGTCTGCGCCTATCTCTGCCTTCATGAAAGCTTGTTCCGTCTGCTGGTAGAACGACATGTGCTGTCCTTCGTACGGTAGCGAAGCCGATGACATCATGTTGTACGACGGCGAAGCTCCTGCGCTATCCATATCGTGAAGACCCATTCGGTAGGGTGAAGATCCGACAAGATCGGGAGATGCCGATTGCCGGCCATCTTCGGATCGTCGACACGAATCTCTCGTCGATGAGGCCATCTCCGATTCGGAAGAGTCTCCACAGTTGCTTTGCGTCGTGCGTGACACCCCCGCGCTGCCGTTACGTTGTTGCTGCTGCTGCTTCCTTTGGATCTTTTTGAGTTTCGCCCGCTGGTTCTGGAACCAGACCTGGACGATCCGAACGCTCAGTCCCGTCTCCTTGGCCAACGCTTCGCGAACCTTTCTGCAGGGCTTTTGACTGATCTCGAACGATGCCTTGAAGGCCCTTCTCTGTGCCGTTGTCAGTATCGTTCGAGGACGCTTGGGCCCCCTTCGTCCGTCAGGCCTCTGCCCGGCCCCCGGCGTGCCGACCGATGGTACGCCGGCACCACCGACTCCGCCGCCACCGTTACCACCTACGCCACCTACGACGGGAGCGCCCGGTCCAGACGTCAGAGCTCCCGGCAGCATTGTCTGACCTGGAACTGGGCCACCTACGGGAATCACTGCGGCGTCGTTGCCTGCGAACGGTTTCATGGACGTTAGCTCCCTCTCCGGTCTGGGAATCCACTCCGCGTGAAGCCCGCTCGACGAGAAGCCCGCGCCCCGAGGCGCGGCGTTCGCTTCTTCGTCGTCGCGACGTTCCGCTTACCTCTTAGCTGCTGCAGCAGGTGCATTTCTTTTTCAAAGTCCTGTCGGCAATAGAGACGTCCGTTTCTGAGCACGTATTCGTCACCTCGTTGCAGCTGACGTCCGCAGGTGCAACACAGAAAACACGACAAGTGGTAAACCTGATCAAGTGCCTTCATGACAAGTTCTGCTGGTGCGATCGATCCCGTGCAGGCAGCACATTTTGCTCCGAACAACCTGGAGCAAGAGAGCGGAAACATCGAAGTTACGCATCGCCAATCCTCGTCCATGATTCCGCAATTTCCGCAACTCCGCTCGCCGTACCACCGACGAGACCGAGACGCCACCTATCCGCGCACTCGGATTCGGATACTCCGAGGTCGGTATCAATAGGTCTTAATCAGACCCTCTGGAACTCAATTTGGATTCTAGGAAGAGCCCGCGACATCCATGAAGGCTCCCCACGGGTTGTGGGTCCTTGTTCTCCTGAGAGGACCCGTATCTCAATATAGTAGACTGACAATGGGCGGAAGGATTTCCCACGGATCGGTTGTGTTCAAGGTGCAATCAAATAGGTATTTTCCCGCCGAGCTTCCAGCGTCACTAAACATCGATATATTACATTTCGACAGATAAGAGTGTGGACTCGGTCTATTGGGCCTGCTCAGCGAGCACCGCCGCGCCGTATCAGTCGGTCTCGCTGGCTGTGTACCAAACCGACTGTTTGTCGAACGAGATAGTACTAGTAGACCCGTAGCCGTGCACTGGTGATCGGAATACTTGACGTTGTTGATGTTGTTGCTGCGTTCTCCGTCTCGCTGCGACCGCTTCGCGCGAGAGGAAGCGGAAGACAGTCTAGTTGCGCGCTCGTCGGCTCTCCTGGCAGAAGAGCTAACGAGAGCGGAGGGAACAGAAGCAGCACACAGTTGCGAGCCTCAGGAAGTACAGACGGAGTGGGGAGGAAGGCAAGAAATGAAGGAAGGAGTCAACAGCAATAAGATGTTCCCCCGGGCCTGTTTGTTCCGCACACAGAATGACAACCGACTCAGCTGCTCGAACGCGCGACCGACCCACCGACCGCCTCTCGCCCGCCGTTCGCTCGTTCCTGGGCTTGCTTACCTTCTACCGAGCGAGCGAATAAGCACCCGAAAGCATCTTTCTATTGGACAAAGGCTTACAAAGCACAGTCAAACGACCTCCTTTCGAGCGTAGACCTGCGGTGCTGGACGCTGTCCAGTTCTCTCTGGACCAACCCCCCGCCCCTCCCTTCGACATCGGTAGTTTGTCGTCGGGGGATGACGCTCGCGGGGGAGGGCCGAGGGGTAAATGAGCGAATCGTGGAAGAACCATCGAAGGGTTCTAGTGCAAATAGCTGAGTGCAGTTAACCGCGTCGATAGTTGCTCGGCTTTCCCCACTCTCCCTCGCGCGCGCGCGATCCCGCCAATCTGGCTCAGTTGAGCGGACGATGAGGGAGCTCAAGCCACTGTTCAAGCGCAAATAGTACAACACTGAATCAGGTCTCGTGCCGATAGAATTCGCTAGTTCACTCCCGTGCTCGCTCTGTGGCTCAATCGCCGTCTCTCTCCGTCGTTCCACCTTTGGTCACCGCGGCACTGCTGTTTCCCACGGACTAGAACTCTCGTTGCTAGGATTTTATGCCTTGACAATTCTGCTTGAGCAGCAGCAACTCAGACCAGCGGAATCTTTGGTGCGTTGCCGACATCGGTAATTCGCTTCGTCGCCACATAATGCCGACTCTGATTGAATTGGCTGCTCTGTGTAGGCAAAGCGAGTTTCGCGTCTCGATTCCTTCGGGTATAGTTTTAAGGATTTCCCGATCAGCGAGGGGGCTCTAAGGGGTCTGAGGGACATCTGGAAGCCTCCTTCGGGACAGGGAGCCTAGCGAGCAAAGAAAAAAAACTCCCCGACTCCTTCAATCCGGAACGCGACGTTTTCCGCTCGGAGCAGCGGAGTGGGCGTTTCGAACGACGATCATTTCGTGCACCGGAAGAGATTTTGTGAGCTCCTCGTCTTGCGGTGACGAGGTCGAGGCGCCATCTCCCTCCTCATGACAATTTTTCCGGTGACCGTGAATGAGCCCGTATATACGGGACATGTAGGAATGACGGGTGTCAACGAAGACAAGAGCTATGTACATACACAAGGATAAGCATACGATTGTCCGAGGACGAGGACAACGGCGGAGACTATATGTGTCAACCTGCGGTACGTCACCGTGGAAGCAGTGGAAGACCGAGAGTAGGACTTCCCGCTGGGATGGTCCGACAGAGAGGGAAAAAAGAACGACAGAAGGCTTACGGACAGGAGAGGAGGAGGAGAAGAAGCAGCAGCTTGGTGAGGTTTCGTGCTCCGGCCGGGTGGCCGGTCGGACGGCTCCCTTGATTCTTCTTATTCGTCTCCTCAGTTTTTCGGTTTGCCCTCCGCTTCGCCCACCCATCGTCCCATCCAGCCGGGGCACCCTTCTCATTCCATTTGGGTCCCCCATGTCTCCTCCTCCGTTTCTCTGTGCTCTCGTTCTTCCCCCTCTCTCCCCTCCGCTTTCCTTCTCAATGTAACCGGGTCCCAAGCCCTCCTGAGCGCTCGACTCACGCGGCTGGGTTCGCCCGCTCGCTCACTCACTCATTCTTTCGTCGGCCGCGGCCGTTCGTTCCTTTCTCGCCGCACACACTTGGGCACACTGCCAGGCTGGCTAGGCCGTAACCCACTGCGAAAATCCAATATCGTGCCCCTGAGCGTCTCCCCTCTTGCTCCTCTCGCTGTCTCTCCTCGTTTTCCCGCCGTCCCATTTAAGGCTTGACTCCTTCCGACCTGGGGCTCTCTCAGCGGGACTTCCTGCCGGCCAGCCAGCCAGCCAGCCGCCCTGCCTGCCTGCGTGGCAGCCAAGCAACCAAGCAACCAACCAGCCAGCCAACAGACCCGCCAACCGAGCATCCAGTGAGCTTGGCCGCCAGCTATCGCGGCTCAAAGGTCGCAGCTCATATTGACTACCACGACCGCTTCCATCACCAGCGTGAAGCTGCTGTTGCGCCTCTAAATCCAGAGTTGCATGTAGCTTCTCCCGGAGCGAATCGAAATGAAAGTGACAATCACGGCGCAGACCGACGACTGTTGAAAGAGCACTGTTCCTCCAAAGAAAAACAGTCGGGGCCAGTGGTGTCATAGACACCATATTTAAACGCTGGTTGGCCGCCTCCAGCGGCGCGGCGTCCAAAAACTTGGAGGGGTTTTCCATTTCGATTGTGTTTGGCGAGGAGTCGAGAAGTTCAAGATGTCAAAGCTTCACATCTCTCACCGCAAACACGAATCTCGAGCCTCCCTATCGCATATGGCGCCGAAAGTTTTTTCTCTCTCGAGTACCACAACCGGACTCCATTCAGAGCCTAGCATGCGAGAGTTCAAGTGCAATTCAAACGTAATCACTCGAAAAATCCAGCGACTCGATCGTGTGTTTGTCGACTCTAGCACGAGAGCAACTCTCCGACATCATCGGCATTTCTGAAGCTCAGCCTCGCTCTGAGATCGGCGGACAGACGGCAAGGTGGTCATCGAGTCTCGTATACCAGTGTGTACCAGCATGTAGACCAGGAACGTGCGAGTCGTTCGACTTGAAGATTCCTCATTTCAGACTCACAGATCGAATTCATCACAGCTCGTTCACGAATGAATTCATGGAGTCGTACGAATGGGAGAGGCAATGACGGGAACATCGATAAAGACCCAGCAGTGTAACCGTCCGGGGGAAGTGAGCCGGATGGATCAGAAAATGCTGCTCGAATTCTTGAGGAGCAACCAACTGAACTCGAGCACCATCTAGACAAGACTGGGCGTTCCCCTGCGAGTCGCTTATTGCCCTCTTCAGTGAGCTCTCCACAGCTTAATATCGCGCCCTCTCAGGGCCGATATTCGGATGTCATGTGGCCCCTCGCCGGTACTATATCGCTGAAGTCGGGATGATCTTTCCAGGATCGCACAGGTCCAAGAGGGCCCGTCGGATTCGCCGCGTTGTCTCTTATTCCGTTTCGAGGACGATCCGCCCGCGGTTGCTCAATCGATTTCTTTCACTCGATTTATGATACAGGGATTCGCATCTACAATTCCTACATACCTAACTAGGAAGGTGCCCACCACAGGACGAGCGGTGTCACTCAGGAACGCGTAGCAGAATGCTTCTCCCGTATCTCACTGCGACAGTGTTATCGGTCGCGGAGCTTGAACTTTGGCTCGGTCGCAACAGAACCCCGTGAGTTTGTTTGGCTTCCAAGCCTGCAGTTTTATGACCATCGACTCATTGAGCTCGGTCCTCCGCCTTGACTCCGCTGAAACTTTGCTGGTCCCGGAGAACACTGAATGCGCCGGACGGCCAGCACGGAGCAGTTCTCCCTTCTTGTTCGCCCACGACGAAGAGCGTCGCACGCCGGTCTTCGGCGACTTTGCGAGACGGAATCGAACGGTAGAAGGTCAGTCCTGCCACAACTCAACCTCCGTGACGGAGGCAAGCCCCTCGTACCCATGTCCGACGAACGTTTGACGAAGGCATACCGAAACGATTTCCATCTTGATGTTGTTCGTCCCGCCGTCAACGCGGTATCGATGCCGCCGTGGTCGTCATCGTCGTCTCTTTCGTCGTCGTAAGCGAGACCGCAAGGTGGACGGACATCCGCGCTGTCATCTACAGCTGCCGCAATGACGGGCAGATGGCAACTTGTCACATTTCATTACACACATAGAATCACATCTCTCGTTGTACCCGTCGTCGTCTGCCGGCTCCGAATCCAGCGGGCTGGCGGACTGGCGAGCAGCACGGAGGAGCGAACCTTTGTTCCCCGTTTTCCTGCCCTCCACGCCGCGGCTGCGTTCCGCTTGCATCTCATTATCCGACGGGGAGGGAGCGAGGCAACGAAATTCGAGTTTGTTCGAGATAGCTTCACTATACTCGTTCACTTCCCTCCGGACCGTAGTCGAGCCAATCGAGGGTGATATGATGAAATCAATCTCGACTTTTCCACCGGCTATTGTGACATCCTCTCAAAAACACATTGTCGTCCAAATCCCCTCGTAGAAAGTCGGATCGCCATAAAAATCCTCTCCTGAGCGATTTGGTGTGTCGCAAATCGAGAGGAGGTGCCGATGCTCGTTTCGCCAACAAGTCTGTGATCTCTCCCCATCTTATCGTCATTTTCATCGGATCGCTTGTCCTCATCAAAAACCCATCCAT